ATTGACCCCCCTATACTGAATTTTATTGTTGTTAACAACCATTTGATCAATAAATATGAGAGATGCCCTCTCAAAAAAAAATATTTAAAGTGATAAAAATGACAAAATATGAATAAAAAAATATTTTAAAAAATACTGAAGGTAAAAAAAAAGGACAAAATTCCCTATAGTTCAGCAGCTCATCATTCTTGTATATTTGTTTCTAGTGTTTCTATGTGATTTATGTAGTTGGAGTCAATGTGTCTACAGCTGAACATTCTGCTCTTTCACCAAACATTATATTACACACATTTCCAAGTATCTACTTTGTCAACTTCATTGGAATACAATTTATGTAAAATAAACCGCATCCATGTAAAGTGAACAGTTTGATGAGTTTTGATGGCTGTACGTGCCTGTGAAACCACCACCACCATTAAGAAACAGAATATTTGGGGCATCCACCCATTTGCTTGTTGTCACTATAGTTTTGCCTTTTCTGAAGTATCATGTTAGTGTGATCATACGGTATGTAGCCTTTTATGCCTGACCTCTTTTGCTCAGCATGATAATTTTGAGATTTATCCATAGTACTGTCCGGATGAGTAGTTGGTTTCTCTTGCTGTTAATAGTTCTTTGACTGGCTATATCACGTCCCATGTGTCCATTCTCCTGGTTTCTGACTGGAGCTCTTATGAATAAAGCTGCTGTGGATATTTGCATACCAGTGTTCATGTGGACATGTGCTTCATTTCTCTTGGGTATGTACCAAGGAGTGGGTGAATCAATGGAAAATATATATTTAACTTTATAAGAATTTATCAGTTTTCCTAACTAGTATTTTTAAAATACCACATTTGCCCTCTTAAAAATGATAGCTTGTTCTTTAAATGTGAATTTTTGATAACTAGTGAAATTAGTATTTTCATGTATTTTTATTAACCAGTTATGTTTGCTTTTTGGTATTTTCTGTTCAGTATTTTACTCCTTCATCTGTTGGGGTCTTATGGATTTTCTTTCATAACTTGCTGTGCTCTTTGTATATTATGGATGCCAGTCATTTATTGTGGATTTCCCTCTCCTTGTTCCTCTGATTTCAGCCATGCTCCTCTTGAACATGAGGAGAGTCTTTAATGTCCAGGGCAGCTCTTAGCCTTCGTGATTTCTCTTCTTGCTGTTAAACTTGGAGTGTCCTGGGTGTGGAGATGATCTATGCCATCTGTCCTATCCGCGTCTCCATGCGGCACCCACGGCCCCCTCCTGGAGTTGTTCTGGCAGTTCTTGATCCTGAAGACCTCTCCCCATCTCAAGAAAGGGCTTTTGCCTCCTGTTAGAGTGAGGTGTGTCGGGGCTTTCTTGACAGAGTAGGAGTTTCTTCCTGCTGGCTTTGTCATATTGGTGCTAAAATGGTAGTAATTATAATATCTGTGTGAACTTCCACAGCCTGTGGTGAATTTGTAAGCCCCTTGTTCCTTTCAGAGCTGGCTGGTCCTGGGTCTCCTGACCCACACATGCCAGGTGCCCAGTGGCAGCAGGTGCTCCGGAAGGCTGGGTAGGGTCCTGTCTGGACGCCCTCTCCTTTTCTCGCCCTGCTGCACCTCCCCACGCCCACCTTCCCCTTGCATCTATGGGGTGGTTTCTGCTGCGGAGTCGTTACTGGGAACTCTGGAGAGCAGGGAAGGTGGGGCTTCAGCCCTTTGTTGTGTGGTGTTTGGGGCTTCTTTGGAAGACCTTTCTTAAGTCGGGGGTCTCGTGGCTGAAAGAAGGTGGCAAATCTATGTCCCGTGCTGTGTGTGGGTGCGCCCAGGCTCAGGGCGATGGTCCTTGCTGGGCCACTTCCCTGCTGGGGGCACCTGGGCAAATCGCCACCTCACTGAGCCTGTTTCCTTTTAAGTTGGGATAACGGATTTATTCAGCTGCCCATTTATTGAGTGCCTGCTGTGTGCCTGGCGCTATCTGGGTGCTAAGATCTGATGGTGATCAAGACAAAGTTCCTACTCCTGGGACACTTGCCTATGGTGGGAGACAGACGGCAGCCACCTGAAAGGAGGTGATGAGGGTCATGAGTCATGATGGCAGAAAGCAAGGTGATGTGATGGGGAGAGCCCCAGGAGCACCTTGGCTTGGGGTCAGGAGAGGCTTTCTGAGGAGGGGACCTTCAAACTGAAGGTGGAGTGACAGTAAGGAGCCACCTGTGCAGAGGCCCTAGGCAGCGAACCAGAGGCTGGCGGGGGCAGGTGTGAGAGCGCCCGAGAGGGGCAAGTGCTCGCAGCCTGGGGCAGGGGCCAGCATGGCCGGAGAGGGCAGAGGGGCTGCTATGCAGTGCTCTGTCAGAACCTTGCACTGATGGGAAGGTTCTAAGGGGACAGGAAAGATCTTTGAATAAAGATCCTGAAGATCCTGTAGCTGTGGGGGGTCGGGAGGTTCGGGGTCTGGGTGGGAGCGGAAGCTGCCACTGGTGTGGCTGGTGTATCAGCGGGGGCGGCACTAGGTTGGGTCAGGTGCCAGTGAGGTGGGGAGAAGGGAACTGGCCCCCGGAGGACTTGCTGGTGACTGTGTGGCTGCTGAGAGTCTCAGCTGGAAGCATATGTGTGGTGGGAACAGCGCTGGCCTGGACGTCCCCCTGAGGTGGTGGTAGGTGTGGCCCCTAAAGGGTAGGGGGTCTGCTGGAAGGGTGACCTCTGGGCTGTGCAACCTGAGCGTCTGCATCAGGAGTAAATACTGCAGGGCCCTGGTTCAGGCTCTGAGGGCCTGCAGACATTTCTCATCAACCAGCGTGGATGAGTGTGAAGAAAGTGCTTTTTATCATTGTAAAGCAGGGAAATGAGACCCCTGGTGTGGATCCCGCTGGGCCAGGTCCTGACTGGGCACATGGAGCAAGAGAGAACAAATTGGCGCATGCTTTGTGCCACCTCCCAGCACTCCGCTCCTAGGAAGGAGCCCCTCTGGGCGAGTGTACTCCAGCTGCCTGCTGAGCCGGGCATACTGATGACGTGGTTCCTTCCTCTCTCATGCCTCACATATTCAGTAGCCTGAATGTGGGGGTCTGACAGAACTGAGGGCTTTCTCAGTTTGCAGCTCTGTGAACTTGGGCATGTTCATTCACCTCCTGAGAGGCAGTTTCTCCCTCTGTAAAATGGGGCGGTGGTAACAGAGAGCCAGGGAGTTTCCTGAGACAATCTACACAGAGCTTCACATGGGGCAGCTGCCTAACAAATCGCTCTTGTCATCATCACCGGGATTGTCTGGGCACCCAGGGTGTCACCACCAGGTTACTTCTATTAGCAGGGTGCAGAGAGGCCACCTGAGAAGGACAGTGCTTCATCCAGAGCGGTGACGCTGACAGTGAACTTCTGCCTCCCTTTGGCAGGTGGTGGGAGTTCCAGCCTGACCCCCTGATTGTCGTGTCCAGAGCTGCTTCTGTGTTCCCTGCAGGACCGTGAAGCAGAGGGCTGGGCAGCATTTGCGTGTTTAGTCTAAAAGGCCTTCTGCTGGGCTCTGAGCTCAGGAAGCTAAAAGTGAAACAGTTACATGAGAGTTTGGATTTTATCCAGTACTAACACAGCACCTTGCTTGATTAGCAGGGGCTCTGCAGTGGTTGGGCATTGCCTCTTGTAAGAGTGTATCAGGAATTTGCAAGTGATGGCGCAGAAGGAGGCAGACAGGTGTTTGGGTTCACCTGGTGCCTGTGAGCCTGGGTTGGCAACTATCAGTCCCACAGGCTCCTGGCTTTTGCTCCCTGAGGCTGACATGCAGGCTCCTGATGCCTGACTGATAAGACCCCCTTCTGTTTTCCTTCCTCTGGGAACATGGGAGTGGGCAGGCCCCAGCCTACCCGCAGCAGCCCCCAGAGGGCAGAGGGCAGGGCTGGTTTGGAGGCCCTGTCTCTGGTAGTGGTGTGGCTGAAATAAACACAGCCTGGGGTTCTGCATGGGACTCAGCCTTCCAGAGCCTGATGGCTGATCCCAGGAGGTGGGGGCCATGGCTGTGAGCCAAGGGACTTGGCAGTCCTGGGTGGGCTGCTGAACTGCCCTTGAGGGTAGGGAGGGTCCGAGCACTAGCTGGCCATCATGGTCTCCGTCTCTTAGGGTGGGTGCGCATTAGGTCAGGGCCTTCCAGCACAGAAGTACGAAGACTAGGACACAGTGGAGGAGAAAGAAACCAGCAACAACTTAATATTTTGAGTTTGTAAGAAATAGCTCTGTGGTGTATCTTGAGATTTTGTCAGATCTGTTTAGAAGGGGAGGGAACCTACCTTTGTTGATCCTGGTCTGTGTCAGGCAGGGGCTCTTCATGCCTTTAGTCTCAGCCAATCCTGGGGATCAGAGAGGCCAAGCTGCTTGCCCACTGTCACATAGCAAGAGCAGAGCTGGAGTGGAAACCCGGGTCTTTTCTACTCGAGCCTGAGGGCTTTTTCTCCACGTGTGAGCAAGATTGTCATAAAGATTTATTATAAAGAAATACCATTTGTAATAAAAAGAAGAGCCCTGTGAAAATAGGTCTGCTGTGCTGTAAGGCTCCACCGTGCAGGTGAGGTGGAGTGCGTGGCTTCCCTGCTTCCTGCCTACGGCTGACACCGGTTGGCAAAGGGGCGGCTGTCCCTTTAAGTCGGGTTCTCCTTGGGAATTGCCGCAGCCTGGGGTGGTGATGCTGGCTGAGGGTGGTGCCTACCTGGCGGATCTCCCCTTCATAGCCCTTCCTGCTCCCTCCCTGACAGCTTGCCAGTGACGCACCCCTCATTAGGTCCTTCCTTTCCCACTGAAGCTGCTGATTCATCCACCAGTGGAGTCGGCTCAGCTGTGGGGCTGGGAGCCAGCGCTCAGGCCACCACTGGGTGGAGGAATTGGGCCTCGCTGGGTGCCCCAAGGGGGCCAGTGAAGGAGAAGAGGCCTCTGTAAAGCCTCTGCAGATTTTTGACCAGAAATGCAGATGGGGGTGGGGTTGTAAGGCTTGGCCATGGTCACAGGGCAAGGGCCAGGCTGACCGGTCCCATCTCACTCCTCTCTGGCCTCGCTCTACAGGGTGCTTCAAAGATGACCGCATCGTCTTCTGGACTTGGATGTTCTCCACCTACTTCATGGAGAAATGGGCACTGCGGCAGGATGACATGCTGTTCTACGTGCGCCGGAAGCTGGCACGTGCGGGCAGTGAGAGCAGCTCTGACGGGCGGAAGGTGAGCGGCCCCCCAGCCCTAGCTGAGCACCCCTGCAGGGCCTGCTCTTGGCATGCATGGTGGGCTTCCCTGCAGTCCTCATGCATGTCAAAAGGGACAAACCATGTTCCTTGAGCACCTAGGTGCCAGGAACCTTGTGGACATGGTCACACATGCCAGCTGACGGCCGGCTGTGCTGGGCATGTACGCAGGCTATCATCAGTCTCCACCATGACCCCTAAAGGCTGTGCTCATAATCACTGTGGTATCTGAGGAAACAGGCGCAGAGTCAGGTGATTTGAGCAGTGTCTCCTAATTAGTAGAAAAGAGGTGGGACAGAGATGTGGGCCCAGCATGCAGGGTCCTCCCTGGCCATGTGCAAGTGACCTGCTTGGCAGTGGTGGTGACACCTCCTGCTTCCAGAGCTGTACCCTGTGTCACACAGTGCTAAGCTTGTTGCCTCTTGGTCTCTCTGTGTCCCCCTGAGAAAACCAGATAGGGCAGATGGGGACACCAAGGGCTCAGAGGTGACATGACTCCCCTAAGGTGTTTAAGCCACCAACTTTAAGTGTGTGAAGGAGTTAATAAAACAAACCTTGCATGTTTCCTTCTGTTTTTGAGAAGCTTTACTAGTTTGTAAAATGTTAAGCAATCTGTATACCAAACGTGGAAATGCCTTGTTTTCCTTTAAACACAAAAAATGGGAGGGCATTGGAAGCAGGAGGCAGGTCTGGAACAGGCAGCCCGCCAGGCTCTCAGTGCCCTGCACCTGGCCTCCAGCCCCGGGGCTGTGGCCTGTTAGTTGTGGCTTGCACGTGGAGCGCGTGGAGCCCTTCCCCTGCTGGATGTCTGGTCTTTGAGCCTGACACACGTGGGATAGATTTTCTGCAAATGGGCAGGCTTGGTGCCTGCTGCAAAGGAGACACAGTGACTTGCACACTGGCAGCCACGGAGGTGGTCTGGCTGGGCTGCGTGACCTGCAGGAAGACCCAGGACTTGGCCTGGGCCCTCTGGCAGTCATCTGGTGTCTGCAGCAACTGGCTGTGTGCCTCTGTGTTGTCACTGGGGCCAGCGGGCACAGGACCCAGAAGTGCATCACAGGGACAGTACAGTGTGGTTGAGTGCAGTGACCAGAGCAGGTGAGGGTGGTCAGCAGAGACCACTTGGGTGAGGGAAGGGGAATAGGTGCTCCCAGCAGAGGGGACAAGGCCCCCTCTACAAATGGTAGGCCTGACAGTGTAAAATCCCCACGCACTCAGGTGGTTGCTGGCGCCTCTGTACAGCTTGGGTGTAGACAGGTGAGGAGCACGGGGGGTAGGCAGGCGCCGGGTCCTGAGGAGGCTGAAGATCACACACACAGGAGTTTGGGTTTTATCCCCAGAGCCCTGAGAAACCACCGAACTCTGTACAGCGAGGAAGGGGGTGTGGCCAGTGTGCCAGCAGTGGGTGGAGAAGGGACTGGAGAGGCCCCAGCTGAAGCAGGGGAGGCTGCTGGGGGTGGGGGTGTGAGCCGGGGGAGGGAGCTGCTTCAGAGGAGTCGGATGGTGCCACAGAGGCGGGCTGGACCAGCAGGGCTTCAGGGGATCCAGTGGGAGGCAGAGGGAAGATTTGTCCTGACAGCCAGGGCTCTGGCTTGGGCCCCGGATAAAATGGTGCCATCATAGGAGGGGACACAGGATGTGTGGCATTAGGTGTCGGATGCATTGTCACCAGATGATGGCGTCTTCCAGACAGTGGGTCTCCTGTCTGAAACCCAGCAGAGAGCTCGGGGATGGAGGCAGAGATTCAAGGCCATTGGCACCAAGATGGTACCTGGGTCCTGAAGGGTACGTGGGGAGTGGAGGGAGAACTGGAGGTGTGACAGTCAGAGAGGACTAGGACAGGGCTCTGAGCTGGCCTGATGGTGGGGGGACCAACAGGAGACCCTCGGTGACTGGCCAGGGGAAGGGGACTGGAGCAGTGGGCATGGCCCGTTTAAAGAGCAGGCCCGGCCCGAGTGCAGAATAGGGTGCCCAGAAAATTGTGTGGGGATAGGTTGACCCCCATACTCCCCAGCCGGAAGCCTCCTTCCACATCTCTGAGGAACCAGTTTGGCAGCACGAGAAGGGGGATGGGCCATTAGATCTGTGACCGGAGGCTGTGGAGGCCTTGGCGCAGTGGTTGTCGTGGTGGGCAGGGACTGGCCGCTCTCAGTCTGGACAGGGGCTGCCCTCTGGGAGGGGGGAAGAGAAGGCTCCCGTTATTGGTGGCATTTGGAGGGCAGGTAGTGGTGGAGAGGTCCGTGAGCTGAGCACCTGCGGGCGCCTGGCCTGGGACTTCGCAGTCCCTTTCACCATGCTCACCATGTCTGGGGTGCAGCTGGGAGAACAGCTTTGTCTCCCCAACTTGCTGTGTGACTTTGTCAAGTCAGCTCCTTTCTGGGGCTTAGCCCTTCCTGGAAAGGGGGCCTGGGGAGGAAGCTTGCTAAGGTTAAGCCCTCCCTCACGCACCCTGAGAGGTTCGGGGTGATGTGACCACAGTAGTCCCCCGGCAGCTGGTGAACCTAGGGACCTCACTGCCAGTGACCCTCAGTACAGGTATGTGCTCCTCTAGCCCCAGCCCTGCTCTGCGGTGAAGACGCCCCTCCCGCTACAGTTCACCAGCAAGGACTAGCTGGGGGGCTCTCTGCCCAAGGGCAGGCAGCCAGGAGGCGCAGGGCTGGGGACCCGGCCTCTCCCGTTCTGGCCTGTCAGATTGCAGACAGTGGTGTTTTGTGGAATCTTGTTCTTTCCCCAGAAGAACTGTTGTGACCAGAGGCTCTAATGAGGACGGGTGCATCTGAGGCACTCTCGGCTGGCCCTTGAATTTCAGTGCCAGGAGAGGCCCCCCGTTCTGGTCAGGGAGGGTTTTCCTCGCCTTTCTCAGCCCTGAATTCTCCAAGAGAGCAGGTGGTAGAGGGAGAGGTGAGGTCTGCATGTTCCCAGAGAGGCCAGGTCGGGAGAAGAAAGGAGCTCATGGATAATGGCTCCTTCACTGCCAGGGAGAAGGTCCTGGACCCAGGACTGAGGAATTTATAGCAGGGGCATGGGGCCATGTGCAGACGTTTCTGAAGGTTGGGGGTGTTGAGGTCAGTGAGGGGAGCATGGGGCAGTCCAGCTGTGCTAGAATGTTCCCCTGAAACACCCTCATAAGCTCTGTGTAGGTGCCCTCCCCTGCACTGGGAGAACAGAAATGACTCCCACCTGGCCTGTCCTCAGGGAACCCCCGGGACAGACAGCAGCATAAGCAGTGACACAGTGGGGAGAGCTGAGGGCACCTGGAAGCCCACAAAGAGGAGGTGGCATCTGGCCCAGTGTTGTAGGACAGAGGATATCCCGAGTGGAGATATCCCGAGTGGAGAGACCAGCACGTGCAGGGGAAAGGGGTTCCAGGCACACATATGTCAGAGCACCTGCCATAGTGGACCTGGTGGTGTCTGGCTGTTGTGTCTGGAGGGTGGGTGGTGGGTGGGAAGCAGTGATATAGGGAGACTTCTTGGGCCTAAGGGGTGTTGTGGGGTGGGAGGGGCAGGTGGGGAGACAGCTGTTCCCGGGCAGCCTCTCTGCCCCCACTTCTCAAAAGAACAGAAAGGAAGGTCCTGGACAGGCGCAGTGTGAGCCCTGCTGTGGTGCCTGCGCACTGCACATCCTCTGCGGCAAGCCAGCTGCTTCCCACCCCCTCTCCAACCCACAACCCCCCTCCCGATCCCTCATCTCATCGGAGCTGGTACTGGTCGCCATAGCAACCTGCTGGGCTTCCTGCGCTAGGCCAGCAGTGCGGGGTGGGGTGGGGCATGGGCCCGCCTCCCACAGGTCGGGTGAGAGCAGCAGTGTGGGTGTGACAGGATGCTGGGACCCCTACACCCTGCTGCAGGGTGCAAGGGACACCCTTGGATGCTTGCTTCTTAATTAAGTCTGGATTCTACAGCTAGAGATTGAGGGTCAAGGCTGGAGTCCGTGTCCGTGTTAACTCCTGCAAGGTGCGGTGGTCCAGCAGCCAGCAGAGCGCCAGGGGTGGCAGCGGGCTGGGACTCACCTCTGTCCTGTGCCTCGCAGCCAGCTGAGCCCGAATCTGCGGCGGTGGAGGTGGAGGTGTACCGGCGGGACTCCAAGAAGCTGCCGGGCCTCGGGGACCCTGACATTGACTGGGAGGAGAGTGTCTGCCTGAATCTCATCCTGCAGAAGGTACAGGGCTGTGGTGGGAGGCAGGGCTCCTGGAGGGGGGCTGTTGGCGGCCCTGAGGGACAGCGACTCCCCCACACACACACCATGCTTCCCTCCTCCAGCTGGACTACATGGTGACCTGCGCTGTGTGCACGCGCACTGATGGGGGGGACATCCACATCCACAGGAAGAAATCCCAGGTACGCCGTGGGGCCAGGAGCCCCGAAGGGCCTGGACTGCCAGCTCAGCCCAGAAATGGCAGCCCTCTGGCTGTCCAGTGTTCATCCTGGGGAAACAGCCTCTTCCTCACTTCCCTGCCCCGAGGGGAGGCTCTGACTCCAGAAATCCATTCAGCAGCCAAGGGCTAACCGGTCATCCCAAACGGCTCCGTCTGGCTCTGGCCTGGCCCCGCACAGTGTGACCATGGCGACCTGTGCCTTGGACACCCTGCCCTCACTGAGTGGCCCTGGGCCTGGCGCAGGGCAGCCTCACCCAGCCCTCAATCTCCTTGCTTTCAGCAAGTGTTCGCATCCCCCAGCAAACACCCCATGGACAGCAAGGGGGAGGAGTCCAAGATCAGCTACCCTGACATCTTCTTCATGATTGACAGCTTCGAGGAGGTGAGCGCTGGTGCCAGTAGGTTCCTGCTTCCCCTTTGGGGATGTGGAGCCTCCCTCCTGGCCTCGCCCCCTTCAGCATGGCTGGGAGAGGGTGGGTCATATTCCCGTAGGTGAGGCTCCTGGGCTTCCTGATGTTGGCCTTGGGGCTGGTGAGCTCACCTGCTCTGAGCCTCCTTTTGCTCATCTGTGAAATGAGCATCATGGCGTCTGTCCTGCTAACCCATCAGGGCTGAAGATCAGATGGCCCCAGTGACGCGGGCAGGCAGCAGGAAGTCAAGCCCCCTGCAGGCCATTCTCCTGGGTGGGCAGGTGGGCAGTCACCCGTGAGCACCCCTGAGCCTCTCCCTGTACGCAGGCCCCAGAGCTCAGGGCAGGGGTGGGCTGGCGGGGCTGGATGCCTGCAGTTAGTGTAAAGGAGATCCTAGAAAGGGGGCCAGGCAGCCTTTGTCCATCGGTCAGCACCTTAGCCGCGTGCGTGTGATGAGGGACATCGTCCTCCCGGTGGCCGTGCGGGTGTGTCCTCTCCCAGGCTCAGAGTCACTGTCGCTCCCCCCAGACAGTGCCCCACCAGCGCTCAGGCAGCTCCTCTTCCTGTGCTGGTTTCAGCAGGGTGGTGGGAGAGCCGGTGCCTGGGGCAGATGTCTTCGCATCTGTGTGTCAGTGTTCTCACCTCGGAATGAAGCCTGGGCCAGTGAGAGGGTGGTGGCCTGGTAGCCACGCGGCTCTGGGGTGGGCTGGTGGGCGGCTGGTAGTTGATGTCCTCATCTCTTCCTTGTGCCCCGCCCCAGGTCTTCAGCGACATGACAGTGGGAGAAGGAGAGATGGTCTGTGTGGAGCTGGTGGCCAGTGACAAGACCAACACGTTCCAGGGGGTCATCTTTCAGGGCTCCATCCGCTATGAAGCGCTTAAGAAGGTGTATGACAACCGAGTGAGTGCAGTGGCGACTAGGGCCTAGGGAACGCCCCCTGGCCTGCCTCTTGTCACTGCTCTGAGCTGGGACTGCCAATCCTCAGGCCCCCGTAGTGCCCAGGGTCCCCTTAGGCCATGCAGGACCCACTTTATGGTGCATTCTTCCTGGCATGTCTCAGCCCTCAGGCCATCCTCGTGCTGGCCTCGTGGACTCAGAGAGGAGAGGAGAGAAGTGAGGAAGGTGGCCTTGGGTCCCACAGGGCAGGGGCTCTTCCCATTCCCAGCCTGGTGCTGGGCCTGCTGTGGCGGGGCTGGGGGGTGGTCATTGGGCATGTGAAGAATGTCAGCCAGGGACCCCAGCAGTCCAGCACTACCCTGCCTCCCAGGCGTGGCCGGGTCAGGGTGGAGGGGTGCTTGGTGTCCCTGGAGGTAGGTGGGCAGCCCCTGGGGACTGATCTTTGAGGATGGTCTTCCTGGCTGCTCATGCTCCCAGGGGAGACCACCCTTACCAGTTGACTCAAGCCATCTCTCACCTGTCCGCAGGTGAGTGTAGCTGCCCGTATGGCACAGAAGATGTCATTTGGCTTCTACAAGTACAACAACATGGAGTTTGTGCGCATGAAGGGGCCACAAGGAAAGGGCCATGCTGAGATGGCAGTCAGCCGTGTGTCCACAGGTGACACGTCCCCCTGCGGGACTGAAGAGGATTCCAGCCCAGCTTCACCCATGCATGAGCGGGTAAGGGCTTTGCAGCTTGGGGCAGGGCCTCCCCTCTCCCTGTCTCTTATCTTCCGGGGAGGTAGGTATCATCATCCCCACCTCTCTAGCAAGGAAGCCAAGGTCCAGAGAGGGCAAGTAACTTGCCTGAGGTCACACAGCAAGTTAGGGCCTAGGCCAGAGCTCTTTCTGCTTCCCTGAGCTGCTACCACAGCTAGGCTGAGCCAGGGCAGTGGGCAGGGACGGACTGGGAACACAGGTGGTCCTAGTGCCTGCCTCAGTGGACCTGATGGCTGACCATGGACACATGACTGTGACTGGCCTCCCTGGTGAGTGACATGCGGGTGGTGATGGTCTAGCCTGCCTTCCTACCCAAGGCCCAGAGCTGCCCAGCTCTTCTCTCTGCCTGGCCCGCTGTTCAGAGAGTGTCTGTGACCTGCTGGTGGTCCAGCAGCAGCCCCGTGAGTAGGCATAGACATCCTGACTGCAGACCTGGCACCCAGGCTTGCCCTGGTCATGCGGCCCTCACGTGACATCACCAAGCCTTGAGTCCTGCTCTTCACTAGGTATCGTCCTTCCCCTGGGGTGGGAAGCTGAGGCCAGTGGTACCTTTATTCCTAGAGCCTTCAGTGGGGCCCGGGGCCCAGGCAAGATTAAGTCTCCTGCCCACTGGCGGCTTTTCCCTGCTTGGGTCTTAACGAGGGTGCTGCTCAGAGCTGCAGACCCTGGAAGAGGGCCCGTGGGTTAGCGCACCAGGGCAGGGAGGCAGCCTTGGCCTGCCCGTCTCTAGGAGATGGTTTGTGCAGAGACCTCCGGGCATTGCTGCCTGTGTGACCTTGGGACAAGTCTCTTCTCTTTGAGTCTCTGTTTTCTCAAACAGAGTGGTGGAGGGGTGCTTGGTGGGGAGGTGGGGAGGTGGGGAGGACACCTGCTTCCTGCGGTATGGGGAGGCCCTGATGAGCCACTGCACATCAAGCACCTGGCTCGGGTGTGGCCCTGGCGTGCTCCCCAAGTCACAGCTGCTGTAGTTACTGTTTGGTGCTGACCTGCTTGGACAGTAATGCGCTGTTTACATTCTCAGAGTCATTGCCCCATGTGCCGAGTGACGAGAGTGTATTTGCTCTGCTCTTAATTCAGTAATAATATGTTAGCCATGTGTCTCTCCAGGTAGTTAGATGGCAGTTTTCTTTCTCTTCTTTATATCCTCTTCTTGTTTTGTATCTTCTACAATTAATGTATTTTATAAGCAGATTAAAAAAATGATTATTTCTCTGAACATGGGTGACAGTTCCAAGCTGGGACCTTTCTTATCTTTAAAATAGAGGTTTATATATTTCTAAGCTCATTTCTGGGATAAAGAGCCTAATTTTTCTTCCTGGTCCAACATTGCCCTGGGAGCGCTGACAAAACGTGTGTTGAAAGTGCTTGTGAAGATGTGGCCTGTGCCCTGGGTTGGACAAATCTGAAAAAGTGGCAGTTCTAACCACTTGTTTGCTGAATGATGACATGTTACTAGACCTGCCCAAGCCTCAATGTCCCACCTGTCAAGTGGGAGTGATGACCTCTCCCTCCCAGGGTGGCTGTGGTGGGTGAAGGAGGTGGTGCATGGCTCAGAGCAGTGGGGAGGCCCAGGGTCAAGGGAAAGGACTTGGCAGGTCACGCAGCTGTCAGTGGCAGGGCCTGACCTCCTGGGGACTGCTCAGACCCTGCCACCTCTGTGCTCACTGTCGCTTGTCCCCCTTTCCCAGAGGGGTCATTTGTAACCAGCTATGACAAATGCAGACTCTGTGTGTATTGTGGTTTCTGGTGTTTGTTTTTTATCTTTTAAAAACCTTCACTGGCTTGTGGGAGGACCGTCTGGAGCCCAGCGGCCGCCGGACTTTGGTGGATGTCGGAGCCGTGACGAGGAGACTGATGGGGCTCCCGAAGTCTCAGTCCCAGATCACCTTGTTCCTCAGATTCTTGTTTGCATGGGGAGGAGGGAGGAGATGGGCCACGTTCCCTCTGCCTGGAACGCCCTTCCCCCCCTTCTTCACCTGGCGAACTCCTACTCGTCCTTCAAGACCCAGCTCAAGCGGCGTCTCCTCCAGGAAGCCTTTCCTGACTTCCCAGGCTGTTGATCCCTTTTGCTCTGTGCTCCCCTGAATACTGTGGTTCCCTTTTTCTGTCTCAGCAACCAACATGCAGTCTGTGGCTGTCACTCTTTGAGCAGACTGTGAGCCCCTTGCGGGCAGGGGCCAGCGTCATGTGTCTGTCTGTCTGTCTGTATAGTACTGTGCCCACCCATCCCCAAGTGGGTGTGGAGAATTTTTGCTGATGAAGCAGCATGATTAGAAGACAGAAGCATAGACTAGTCAGCCATTGCACTTCTGTGCTGGGATGGGTGCAATGGGACAGTCTAACCAAGAGGGGAAGTTAGTGTGAAGAGCGTGGCATTAGGAGGCAGAAGACCTGGGGTGCATTCCCAGTTTTGCCACCTTCCTGCTGGGCAACCTTGGGCAAGTAGGGGTCACTGTCCCACCCTTGTCTCCTCACTTGTCAGATGGGACGGTACCAGTTCCCCTCTTGTGGGCTGGTCAGGAAGTTCCTGTGGATTTGTGTGCCATGGCAGGTGCTAGAGCAACGTCAGCAGCCTGTCTTACTTTGTACCTGAACGATCCCCTAGCCAGTGTTTGAGGCCTGCCTGCAAGAGGACAGCCTGTTTTTTCCTGGGCAGAGCTGGTGGGCAGGCCACTCTGCCTGTCTCTCAGCTGAAACCATTTCCCAGTGCCACTTAGCCCCAGGCAGGCGGGGTCAATGGCCACAGCCTGACTTTGCTGTCCAGGCCAAGTGTTTTCCCCAGGGCTCTGTGTCGGGTTTAGCTTTAGGGCAGGAGGAGTGTGGGCCTTGGGACCCCTGGCGGTTGGCGCACTGCTCTGGTAACTTCAGTTCTTTGTTCTCAGGTGACCTCCTTCAGCACCCCCCCAACTCCAGAGCGGAACAACCGGCCTACCTTCTTCTCCCCGTCCCTCAAAAGGAAGGTGCCCCGGAACAGGATCACCGAGATGAAGAAGTCCCACTCTGCCAATGACAGTGAGGAGTTCTTCCGGGAGGACAGCAGTGGAGGTGACCCCAGCCCACCATGCCCTTCATCTCTTGGAAGTAAGTAAGTAAGTAAGTAAGTAAGTAAGTAAGTCATTCAGAGTGGGTGCCATATGTTGGGGTGGGATGGAGCTGTGACCAGACACCAGTCCCTGCCTTGAGGAGCCCCAGTGAGAAGTCTCAGGGTTCAGAATGTGAGGCTTGGCTTTAGGGCTCAGACCCCCCAGTGGAGCTGTCTACCTGTTGCACGTGGTGGTGCCAAGGGCACAGCCAGCTCTCCAGCCCTTGGTGACTTCTGGCCACTGGTGTCACTCCTCAGGGCCACCACTGGCCAGCTCACCATGCTCTGGCGCCTCCAGCTGGGGTGTCCCTCAGGGCTCCCCTGCTCCCCCATGACCCGCGTGCTTCCCCTCACCAGGCCTGTCTCCCTGGAGGCCGCGCAGGCCCTGGGTCTGCCCTGCTCAGGGTCTGCGGTCTCCCATCCAAGCCGCACCTTCCCACCGCTCTCCCCGCACTCTCAGCCCGCTGTCAGCCATCAGCCGGGGAGCCGAGGCACGTCCTGAGCGCAGCGGCGAGCCAGTGGGAGGTTTTAGGCAAGGGATTGACAGAGTCAGATTTGGACATTCAAAATCCCGTTCAGTGGTCCATGCAGAGCCTGGACTGGGAGGACAGGGGCTGCTGTTGGAGACAAGGTGGGAGTTCCAGCCAGCCCCGTGCCAGCTGAGTGCAGCCAGCTGGGCACCTGCACAGCAGGACCTCCATGTGTTTGCTGGATGACTCAAATGGTTGCTGACAGCACAGTGGCCCCAGGCAGGGAGCTGGGGCTGGGGCCTTGGGCAAAGGAGATGATAGTCCCTGTCCCTGGTTGCCGGGACCCAGTCGTAGAGCGCCTGCTGGGTGAGGCCCTGGCCAAGCTGGGAGACCCCAGCACTGGCCTTGATGTGTTCTTGTGAGCTGGGCTACGTCCTCCCCACCTCCGCTCCTTTCCAGGTCAGTGGGCGAGCACTGCCTCCCTGGGGGGCCCTGAGACTGGGTCACGGTGCCAGGTCATTCCGGCCTCACCCGAAGTCCTGGGGACTAACGGTGCTTTGTTGTAGTGACAGGGCCCCAGGGAAGCAGAGAAGTCACACTTGCAGTCTACCAGACCCCACAGATGGGCCACTCCAGGACTGTTCCTGATGCCTCAGTGGGATGGCACGGGCCCTGAGGGCTCAGGGGGAGCTGGACAGGCAGGAGCAGGGTGGGGAGGGGGCATAAGGGAGCTGGTGCCAGAGCACCTGGGCAGGGGGTAGAGCTGGGCAGGCGGAGAATCCCCTGGCATGGAGGTGTGCTGCTCCTCCCAGGAGACCTGCTGCCTGGGCCCTGACCTGGCTCTTTCCTCTCTAGCCCATCTGCACAATGCCACCAACCTGCGGTCTCGGTCCCTGTCTGGCACGGGGCGATCCCTGGTGGGGTCCTGGCTGAAGCTGAACAGAGCGGATGGAAATTTCCTTCTCTATGCACACTTAACCTACGTCACTTTGCCGCTGCATCGGATTCTAACAGGTAGCGCTTGTTGATGTAGAAAACAGTGCCCCTTCTCTGTAGCCAGCCAGCTCCCGAGCCCATTTGGGGTGCCTGACTCCATCCTGTTTCAAGTCTGGACGCCATCATAGGGTTTCCATGCAGGGTGCTTGGTCTCCCTGTTCAGACTTCAGGTGGGGCCTCTGGGAACACTGTCCTCCATAGATAGCCCTTTCCAGGCCCCTCCTGTCCCCTCCTGTTCTTTTGAGTGGTTGCAGACCCCTGGGTGTTTGCTGCTCTGGGGGTGAGGCGAGGCTCAGCCTCTCGCTGGCAGTGCTGGGCAGTGGGTCCAGAGTCAGGCCAGTCTGTGCTCGAGCTCCACTGCCCCTTGGCCTTGGCTAGACTGTGCAGCTTCTGCAAGCCCACTCCTGGTCTGACCTGGGGGTGGTAATGGCACTGCGGTTCTGTGAGGGCGGGAGAGGCAATCGTGGGAGTCACTTAGCACATGCTGCCTCAAGGGGACATGTTGTCGCCTTAGCTCGGGGGGTGTCGACTCCCTCTTCCTGTCCACCCCTTCCTGCCGCCCTAGACATCCTAGAAGTACGGCAGAAGCCCATCCTGATGACCTAGCCGTGTGCGGAGCCCGCGCCGAGCCCCCAGCCCTGCCCGGCCCTGGGAGTGCTGCCAAGTGCCTACCTGTCCACCGCCACCGGGGTCTTCTGTGACAACCCAGCGCCGGAGCTGGAGCCAGGCGGGGCCACTCGACTCCCGGGGCCAGGGCCCACGCCACGAACACCAGCCCAAACTGAAGTGCCTCTTTCTCCTCCCCTGCTGGCTCTGCTCCTGCCCCTGCGCCCACCGCCCCCACCCATCACCCCCCAGCCCCTCTCTGGAGAGCCCTCTGCACCCAAGGAGGACCAGAGACACCAAGAGGCCGTAAGAGAGAGCACAGGAGCAGCCGAGTCCAGAGTGTGTCCATACCTACTGACCTGAGGTTCACGTCCCGGCAGGCAGCAGGGGGAAGCCACCTGGTGGGCAGCACTCAGTGTGCCCACCTGTCAGCCCTTTCTTAAGGAAACCTGGTGTAAGGTTTTGTGCTGCTGTATTAGGGATCTTCAGCATCCGAGTTAGTCCTGACTCGTTCATCCCTTTACCCCCGGGGGATGAATGGGTCACCATGGGGAGGTGGGAGCATGGCTCTTTGATGGTTTTGTCCTGGGCTGGGACTACCTCACCCCATGCTCGGTTCCAGAAGGGCCTCAAGCTGAGCAGACAGGCCTAATCCTGCCAGAATGGCCTTTGCTTCCCGCCAAAGAGCACCACCCACACATGCACCTCCAGCTTGGAGACATCCCGCTCCGCACCTCGGCTGGCACGACCCGTAGGATCGGACTGTGAGGGCAGGTGGGAAGGCTCGGTAGCCACGTAGAAGACAAAACCTCTGCCAGAGGCAGATAGACAATGTGGGGTGGGGTTAGCATCCTCCCAGGAAGGTTCTGGGTAGGACCCCTATCTGCTCGGGCTTGGGGAGGGGATTGGGTGTTCCATCTCCCCTGGCTTCCTGGAGCTTACTGCCTTTGGGTGAGTGTGCTGGTCCCATTTCTCAGACCAACTCACTGAGGCAAAGAGGGACTGGCTTCCACACTGCTGGCCTAGTCGGTCTGTGGAGGCCTGTCCAGCCACATGCCTGCGGCAGCTTTGTCCCCACTGGGATTTCCATCTGTGAGGACACGTGCTCTTTTCAAGAGCAGAAGCGTTTCCCCTACCCACTGGGAACAAACGGGAAGCTGGGTCACTATTGCTGTGCTGTTCTGTTTGAAGTCCCCAGGAATATTTGAAGTGTTTCTGCTGTGCATTTAGAGATCCTCTGTGAGGGGAGAGAAGGAATTGGAGGGCTTGTTCTCCGTCTGGTTTTATTCTGTGTGCTCCAAGGGTCTGTGCTGGGCTCTGGGAACAGGGGACTACTCTGGGGCTTTCTCTAGATTTTGTATGCTATTATTAAAGCGAGCTATTGCATTTCATTCTGCCTCAGTTTGCCCACCTGTAAAATGGGGCTGATACCACCTACCTCACTGAAGTCTCCAGGGTTCCCGTGCACGGCCGGGTCAGGGCACGCTCGCCAGCCATTCTCCAGAGCTCGGGTCGGGAGTTAGACTGTTGGGGTGTTTACTGACCCCAGTCACCCAGCCCAAAAAGACGTGTGCCGGGGTTAGTTTGAACGTTCTCAGATTCTCCAGCAGTGCTCAGCAGCTTGTGCTCAGCTGTATCTCAGCCCTCTGCATGATGTCACCTTCCAGAGCAGTGTCTTAGGGCAGCACAGAGTCAGATCTTACCCCAGAGCGTTGGAGCAGAGCCTCGGGGAGCTGTGTGCATTTGCGTGTTCTCCCGGGAGCCAGACGCTGCCCCCAAGTCTGAAGGTGGCTAAAGCACACAGCTTTTTCTCCAGAACTTTTTTCCTCTGGTCATCTGGGGTCTGCAGACTCTGGAACGCAAGGTGGGAGGCGTGGAGCGCGACATGTCTTCCAAGGAAGGATGGGAGCTTCGCGGGCCTCCCTCTGCTGTGCAGTGGGGGCACGAGGGCCTCCTCACTGGAGCCAGAGGCTGGCCACGCGCTGGGGCCCAGCCACCGCTCCTGCCGGGGCACTGCGTGAGTCAGGCTCCTTCTCTGAGAAGACATGCCTATGCTGTGCCAAACTCGCGGGGTCACTGAGGGCCAGTAGCAGTAGCGTGTGAAGGTGCAGATCTGTGTGCTCCAGTGGTACTTTAGAGACCACCACAGCCTTGTGACGCATGTAACCGCTGCACACAGTGGCCTGGTGGTGGGTATTCTGCACCTTGGCAGCACTTAGGATGTGCAGGCCCTGTGCTAAATGTTCGGGTCCTGTCATCCTCTCTATCTCACAGGTGAGGAGACTGAATGGCAGGCAGTGACAGCAGGCATCCAGCCCAGCCCCTGGCCCCAGGCCCCAGCCCCCAGAGCCATGGGGATGTGCTGTTCCCCTGGGCAAGTGTTGGGTGGAGTCGACCTTTCTCAGTCTTTAAGTCCTCGGAAGGGTACTTCTGATACTGAATTTAAGCCATGCCTAGAGGCACTTGGTAACTAGACAGCTGTTAGCCCGTCATTGAAGTTGGTTTTTTCAAAGTGACAGATGATATCAGTAATGCATGACGGCCCGGGACCAGGGTCCTGCTGCGTCCTGGTGTTGCTGCAGTTTTACTTTCTGTATGGCTTTCTGTAATTTTTATGGGAGCATGCCTGTCTCGTATAATGCAGGGATGGCCAAAGCATGCATATGTTTCTTATGTGGGAACTTGAATTAAGTAGTTTTCCTTTGAAGAAACTGAGGTGTCACATTTTTGGACGTTAATAAGAAAGTTGTCTTTTTTCTTTTTCTTTCTTTTTTTTTTTTTTTAAATGTCATGGCCCTAGAGGCTGATGAGTGGTGCATCGTATCCATCCCCATCTCTTTTCAGCCCCTGGAAGTTCCAGTAGTGTCCCTCCCATGTTCTGATACCTTCCGGGAACACCCAGTCACCTATAAAAACAGGCAAAGCAAGTTATCTTGAAGGAGAATATTATTTAAAACATAGGTAATAGAGGAGTGGTCAAAAGAACCAAGAGAAGCAAGCTTCTCTATGGTCCAGTCAGCTTGGAGATGGGGTGGGATTTCCGTGGGTCACGTGCTGGCTGACGTTTGGACTCTTCAGGGACTCTGAACAAATGGGAAGTCAGGTTTCTAGCTACATGAAATAATGACAGTAATGGCATAAAGGGATGCTCCTAACAAGATTTTTTTCAAAAGAATCTAGCTAGACTCAAAAAGGGATCTTTTTTTGATGTTTAATCACAAATAAACTAATTAGTAGACTAGTGGAAGAATGAAGTAAAAACTTTTTTTCCCATTCCAGGGGGAAGGCCTTCTGCAGTTGGTATGTTCTGACTGACTTGGAACATTCGTTTGACAGTGTCATAATCTAGTGGTTTTAAATCATTGGCCAAAATTCTTGGAAGACTTAACATACTGAAAATCTGCCAACTTTCTTATGAGCCCTAAGAGGTTTCACTTCGGTATATAATCTGTTCAGTTTTTCTGTATATTTTTTGTGCGGTTGGTATATATTCTGTTCAGTTTAGTTGCAATTTACTTTCGTATCGTTTCAAAAACCAAGTAGCTTTTGACATTACATTGGTCCTTCCTGTTCAGGCTTCCTTATCTTTGTTTCAAAAAGCGGAGTCCTATTTAAAAAATAACGTCCCTTAAAGACTCTAAGGGATGGAAATACAAGTGCCGGCGCCACGGGTGAAACTTGAACAGAAGTAGCCCATGCAGGTGTCGCGGCAGCCCCCACAGGAGGCGCAGGTGGCCAGGCTCCCCGCCACCTCGGCCGGTGACCCCGCGGTCAGTGAGGGGCTCTAACCTTTGTTCCGTGTCACTGACGGCCATGGCCCTGACATGACCTTCAGTGGAAAAGGAACCCTCTGGCCCGTCCTCTGGGCCCCTGGGCCACACAGCCTGGAGAGCTCCTTGGGGCACCACACACCGGAGCCGAACCACTTGAACACCGGGTGGCCTGGGGGTTGGGTTCAGAGTTCACGCGGGTGGACCTCAGAAAGGGAGGAAGCCCCCAGACGTGCGGAAAGAGTTCGTGTTTACAGTTTTCTACTATTCCCAAGGCACGAAGGCATTTTCATTGTGCGGAGCCAGCTTGTGCTGAGTGGGTCAGAAGTGACGCGGCGCTCCAGGCCTGCTGAGCGGCCCCTGCCCCCCCTTCCTTCTCCCCTTTACCTTCCGTGCCCCACTCTGGAGAAGGTCTGCCAGTCTTATTAGATGTGAACAGCAATCTTTTATGGTTCCAAATGAATTCTATGTCTGAGAATAAATCTGCAAAGAAAACCTGTTGAGAGGTTTCAGTACTTGGAGGCTCAACTGAAGAAATTTCTGCAAAATACAATTTAGCAAAAACACCATGATGGCATACATTGAATATATTAGGATCCAGTCATCAGTGATATTTCCATAAATATTAGCAGCTTCTGGATGAACCGTCTTCCACAGGCAGCAGAATTCATTTCTCAGCAGTATTTGTGTTTGGCTGTTAGCTCAGCTTTGATTTTGCCTTTCAAAAGTTGATTTGCATGTTGGATATTAAATTTGTTTTTATTGTTTTCCTCTAATGAATCTGTACTTATTTTTTTCTCTAATGGGTATTTCAGATTAAATACTCTACAGGTATTACAGCAATGCAGTACTTAGTGATTGAACCTTAATACGCCCCCAGCAGTACCTTAAACTCCACAGTTGCAGCTTTTGCACAAGTTATTTTTTTGAAATGGAGACTGGCAGAAATGACCCACTGGCCTGGCTGTGGCAGTCCTGGGAATCAACGGGGTCAGGGGACCAGTGTCATGGTTTGGCCAGATGCTGTATTTGCAAAATTGAATCCCAAGAGGGCTGGCTTCAGGGTTAGTGCTTAGCCCCATAAAGTAGTATATGCCTTCTCTGTTGTACTATAAAATTTCCCAAGCTTTTTCTAGAGAACCCCTTAAAAGCCCTCAGAAATGGAAAAACTAGAAAAAAAGTCAGGAGTCCTGAGTTCAGGTTTGGGCAGGCTCCCAAGCAAGCTGTTCTTCTGGAAGGTGGTTTTGGACTGTGGCTCTCAGCTGCCATGCGGCCCTGCAGTTAAACAAGCTGATGTTGAGCACGTTTGCACATTTGCAGGCTGACTATGGGAGCTATTGCAGGTTCACCATAGGTGGGTGCAGCTGTGGGATCCTCTCAGGTGGACGTAGCCCCGGGGTCCTCAAGCACTGAACCGTTCTTTCCACGATATATGAATTCTAAGTTCTGTCACAGGTAATGGACATTAAGTAAGGCCTAGGACTGCGGAATGTCATGGAACCAAAAATGAGTGAACAAGTAAAAAGAGGGGTCTAAGGGAACACATACACAAATCTAGATGTAGGGTCGGGCTATCACAGCATGACTCGGAAACGGTCATGGCATTAGAAATATCCGAGCCAGAGTTTTCTGGCCCAGCCTCGTTGAGGGCAGACTGTACAAGTGGTGGTTATGAAGGAAGCAGTTTATTAGGCCAAAAAGACAAATTTCTTCCATCCAGATCGAACCCCCTTGTTAAGGAGGAGGTCCTCCTAAGACAGTCACCTGGAACATAGGAGATACTGGGGTTGGAAGTATCCCAGAAGCTTCCTGCAATAACAGTTTATTAATTGTTCACTGTTGAAGGCTAACATTTGTTTTAGTTCCTTTGTTCTGACCTAGATGAAAATTCAGGAGCTACTGTTACACCCTAGCTTAGAAGGAGATGTTGACTGGAAGGGAAAAGCCTTTGGGATTTTATGCCGGGAGGAGGGGGATGTAAAATAGCTTACTCCACAGTGACAAGGTTCGTTGTATAGATACACGTTGTATAAACATGCTGTGCTTTGTGCTTGCCTGTTAAAATGGCAGAATAGTTGCAAAATTTATACGAGAAGGGGAAATGTTTTGGGCAATGATAAAACAAAAGGTGTCTTCTCTCGCTCACAGCTTCACCGAACTCCGTCCTGCCTTGGCCTCTACATAAACCAATGAGTTTCCCAAGATATTTCTTTTTCTGTATGTGGATTAAAGGACTTTCATCTTGGAATCTGCCTTTAATGAAAAATTAGATTGCTCGATTTTTAAAAAAACATGTTTTCTAGAGAACTTTAATGATTATATTTTGAATAAACAATTTTGTTCAAAAGATTTTATCCCATTCCAGAGAGCAGTGAGGCTTAGTCCATCAGTGGCACAGGCAGACCTCAGGTGGCCCCGGAGCGGCCCGTGACCTCTGCCCTGACTGCGTCTCCTCAGACACACACCATGGATCCCAGGCCTGGGTTTTCTCAACCGTAAGGTGTAATCACCACCACCTTCCCAGGCGCAGAGGCTGAAGGGAGACGTGTATGTCCAAAGGCTGGCATAGTTCCTGGTACCGTGATATCATTTCCCCCAGAAATGTGCCAAAGGGGTATTCCAGGGGTCACCCCTAAACAAGTCATCGGGGAGCACAGCTGTAGCCCAGTTCTTTGATTTGAGCGTGTATCAGTCACCTGGAACAGTCAGGTGGCTGGTCATGAAACTACTCTGGATTGTGATGGTTGCACAGCTCTGTGAATGTTGTAAAAATGCCTGAATTGTACTTGAAAAGGGTGAATTTATGGCATATGGATTATAGCTCAATAAAAACAAAACGACAAACACGGGCCCCACCCAGGGTTCTGGTTCAGTGTTTGGGGTGGGGCCCTGGAGCTCATATTTCTGACAGGTTCCCCCCAGGGAACTGCTGCCCCCCAGGACCACACTGGAGAGGCGCTGTTTGGCCCAGCTGTCCCCCCGAGTGCCTGAAACGGGGCTGGTGCCATGCGGGCAGGCTTCCTCTCTAAGCTAGTGTCAGGTCGGTGGTTTCCTTTAGACGTTGCTGGTTCGGGGAAAGTGCTTTCATGGGTTAGTCAGTCTTTGCAGTATCTACCTCACCAGGAGACACTGCTTATAAACTAAGTACTGAATGACTCAGGAAACTGAAGATATGAACCTGACTCCAAAATACTATTATATTACTATGCCCTAACAGTCATTTAAATCACAAAAAATTCAGTACATAAACTAAAATAAAGCCCCATATATATGTGTGTGGACAAAAGTGAAGGTTCCTGTGGCCAGGTTCTCACCTGGCCCTGGTCAGCTTGCTCACACGTGTGGGCAGGATGTTATTGACTGTATGATACAATGAGCTCCGCCCAGTGCTCCGCATGACGGTGGCGTGGCCGCACGGCTGCTGCAGGAGAGCGGAGGCTGGAGTGGTGGCAGCACTGGGGACAGAGGGGCCCAGAGGCAGAGACCAGCCTGCTGCGTGCCCTCGCTCTGAGTGGACGGGATTCTAGTGACTGACCTGCCACTGTGGGAATAAAGTTGGGTATACCTTTCACCCCAAGAACGTTCCATTGTCATTTTTCAGTTTCATTGAATCCTTGGTCAACTTGCCCAGTGCTGAAACCCATTGGCAAGACAATATGTATATATAAAAAGGGTTCAGCTTTTTGTCTGAGACAGAGCTGGGCACAGATCCCAACTCCATTACTTATCTGTCATGGAAAACCTGCCACGGAGCCCGCCTGGGGGGTTTGCTGTCCCCACAAGACAAGACACACAGTGCCCAGCACATCACTGCACACAGTAGCCGATGAAGCATCCACCCATTCTAATCTGCAGAAACAGGAAGCCAATAGAAATTTGGTTTGAAAGCAGCCTCATCCTGCACACACAGTCTGATCATACCCAGGTCAGCCTCCTCCAGGCAGTCCTTCCTGCTTCAGCACGGGGCTCTGGCACTGCTTCTGCAGGAGCCCTCTCCCCTGAGTCAGCCTGACTTGTCTTCATGCCAGGTGCATCATGGGAACGTCAAAGCAGCAAACATTGATTCTGTTTACTTTCCATTTATTCACATTTCATGGATTGTTATACTTCCTCAGTGGGACCATTCCAACACTAACACAATTCAAGATTACATTGTCTGACAATTCAAGTATCTTCATTTTAGAAAACATTTTCCTATTTAAGACAGTGAACAATCTGTCCATTTGATTACTAAGAAGTTTTACATCTCCGTTACCCTTGTGTCTGCATCAGATGCAGAGTCCTAGGTCCCTACCATGATTGCCACTAGCCAAGAACATACAAGTGGCCTTGTGCTCCGAACACAGGATTGGAAGACCAGTTTGGATGGGCTCCTACCATCACCTACCAGTACTACAGGATAAATCAATTTCTACTTAAAATCCTTACTTCCAACATGGGAAAGAATACTCAGGGGTTTGGGAGCAGGCTATTAGTTCGCAAAGCCTTCACATACTTTATGCTTGCATTTTGACTTCTGAAATGTAAGAATAACTGCCAAATGCTCAAAAACAAACAACTTGTTTACCTGTAAACCAAAAAATGCTTTCTCAGTGAAAACTTGAACTCCTAATGGTAAGGTGGAGTATTAAGTGTTTTCTTCACTACCCCAAAGGAGGTAGATATTTTTGGCATGCAGCATATAAAAAAATACGATTTAGAATTGTAAAACTATAATCCTTTTAAAGAAAACCAGTCCATAAATGGTCAACCTGTCCTTCCATGAAAAACAATCTAAACTACTTTAAAAACTGGACACACATTTTCAGTCTAAGTCTAGTAACAGACAGCAGAACATTCAATTTTTTGCTTACTGGGAATGCACAAAAGGATGAGATGGACACATACCAATTTTTAAAAAAGGCCACTGGGACACTCAATGTCAAGATGCAATCAATCTGATTTACAGATATACATGCCTCATTTAGGCCATATATGACATACTTTATAGATTCTCGAATTAAAGATGAAACTTTCAGTCCACATTAAACATGTTAAAGCTAAACTGCTAATATTTTGTTAGGAATAAATTAATCCAGGGGGGGAAGAATTTAGCTATCCATACAGTGGGAAAGTAAAGGCAAGCCCTACAGAGGGCAAGGTGGCCCCCTCCCCCAAATAACATACAAGCACTTAGATTTTACAGTACAATTCATACATAATGGACTTTTTTATACTAATACATAATTAAAGTGGAGACCAACAAGTTCCTAAAGCGTAAGAGCAGTTTTAAGACAATGTCACATTTGGAGTTGTGGTACACACATTTTCCCCTGTAATTTTCACTAACAGTGAGTCTTAGCAGCAAGAATTTGCTGGGAATGTTAGGAAAAAAGAAAGCCCCACAGATCCACTAATTTAAAAAGAAACTATTTTTACAGGAGGTGTTAAAAGGTAATCCAATCATGATCTTCTCGTGCCATTTTCTGGTGAACATTCCACTCCACATGCAAAGGCTAACAACACAATGCCCACTCACAAGATGTGTGCCCAGGGACGCCCACCACCTTGTTGGGAACATGGGCGTGTGTGGCTAAATCGTACCACACTGCACTCAAGTCTGTCCCTGGGCTCCCTCTTCCTCTAACAGCTGGATAAGACAACAGCGAGGAGTGCAAGGTCTGCACTACTAGAACAGCAGCAACCACCTGATGACTATAAACCACAACAAATGCACGAATAGCCTCAATTCTGAAAAGTAAATGCAGACACAATGGCCACTTCCTCCCTGGATCTACAGTACAGCTAAGTTTAACCACATCTATTATGGCGTCAGCACGCCTCTGCACGGCACCCACATTCGCCCACTGGAAGCAGACAGCATAGTAGTACGAGGGTCCCATGGGAAACATGGACCCAACTATCTTACCAGAAGTACCCGAAACCTAAAATATTTGATCATAAAATGGTTTCCCCACCCCCTTTACATCTAAAAATTGTAGCTTCTATTAAAAAAAGCAACTGTACTATCTACATTTTGACTACTCTTTTCTAAGACATTATGTCCTAAAGATCACAATATGCAAGTGTGAGCCCTCAGGCATGGACCCTGAGCCTTTAAAGATCATCTGATACCAGCACTGAAGATGATTCATGAGGAATGATGATGTGGACACTGAAACCTTAAAATCTACATTTAGTTCACGTGCCCAGAGTCTTCAAGGAAAAAATGTCAGTTACCTAACAGCTACGGAGGAGTGACATGGATATCCTCGTGTACAGACATGGCTCCCATCCAAACAAACTATTTTACTCTTAAAAAAGTAAACAGAAATTTCAGGTATCAAATGTAGAAGACACTACTGTCTAATGTTAAAGGCAACATTTATACACATAATTTTCTCTTCCATTACCTTATTGCATGATTCCTGGTTAATTCACATGGCTCGTGTGTGTAACAGCTCCTATGACTTTTAGTAGTAGTAGTTTTTAGGCCCAGAGTTCACCAGGGCGCAGGCCACTGAGAGCATGTTCTCTTCCTTCCGTAGCACGGCTCAACCCTGACCTAACTTTCTTTGTAAGAGTTTACTGTCCATGGTCTGTAAACTGTAAACTACCAAATTTGTGCTTTTAAACCTCGTTTCTGGCAATCCCCCTCTAGCCCATTTGTCTCCGGGGGGGGGATACAGAAGTAACAGCACCTCATGAATAAAACTATAAAACCAAATCGACAAAAAACAAAGAACAAGCTACCTGTTACCTTTTAAAAGGAAAAAGCAGTTCCTGAATCACAGTAGAGCAGTCTACAAGGTTAAAGGCCAACACTCGCAAATAAACAGCTAACAACTCTAAAGCTGAAGGTGAACATTTGATCACATCTCAGCTTTAAAATACCACTTAAAAAAATGCAGCAAAGAACATCTGCCCCAGCATGGCAGCACACAAATCGGCCCAGTCCACCAGAGAGAACGCTACAGGTAAGCTTCCTTCCGGACACACACCGTTGGAACGCAGAAAACCTCGGAACTATGGATGGGAAAAGCCTTTGGGAAATCTCATTAGTACCCTGATCTCAGTCCATTAAGAAATCACTTATGGTCAGTTTAATAAATGAATATTAAAAAGCTTCCAAAAAATTTCATTCAAATGTATTTCACACATTAGATAGTTCTTAAGAAAGGAGAATACAGTTTCTTAACACTTAACACTTAAAATTTTTATTGGCCACATTAATCATCCTCACAAAAGTTTTAAGTTATCTTAAGTTCTCAGAATGTCAAAGTTAGAGAAGAAAAACTGCCTAGTTTAAGGGGTGGTGGGGGAGCAGCAGCCTGACAGCAATTCCTCAAAGTGTGCTCAGGCACCCCTTTTCTCCAGTAAGATTCTGTACAGCTCGTCCGCATCCTCACTTGCTTTTACACGAATTAACATAGTAACTGGCGTGCTGGCGTTCTTCTCATCAACGGGTGGGTTTGGAACACAGACAATAAGCACGTTGTTTTTCCCTGTTCGGGTACATGGCATATTGGGTGGAACCTGAATATTCAGCAATATGTTGCCTGCATTTAACAAAGGAAAAAATACATCAAAATCATGCACTATAGCTTCATGAAACTATAGCTTTAATATGCTAAACATTAACTATTGGAGCAACTTATACTTAATGGATCTAAAATTGAAAGCTACCAGAAATGTCATAAAAAAGGGCACTGGGTCCCTGATACAGACGCCGCCAGCACGGTGGCCCTGGGAGGACTGTGAGGCCTCCAGCAGGCTTGCGCTCCGCCTCCAGGTGAAGGAACTGCTCTCTGCCCTGCCCTCTGCCTGTCCCCGGGCGCAGCCTCTGGCAGGATGGTTGCCCTTTCTGAATACCATACGCCCGTGCACTGAAGGAAGAGCACGTTGGCACAACTTGAGGCTTCACCATGTCGTCCAGGCAGAGGAAGAATGGCCATGCAACAGAATGTGCCATGAGGCCCGTGTGGCTCCGTGGGTGAGCTTGCTTGCTGTCCCCGTGCTCCTGCCATGGGCCTGTCAGGCCCAAAGAGGACAGCCTCCCGGAAGCTGCCACTACCAGCAACCACGTCCTGTCAGACAGGCCGCCACACCAGGCACCGCCCCTGCTCCTTCCAGCGGCTTGTTGCAAGGGAAAAGCTGAGGGGTGTCGGGTGAAGGATTATTTGCTACATAGAAAGGATTCCATGGTTAAGTTCCATTCCATGTTTATTAAACCATCCAACTTACCTACAGCTTCTAAGTCTTTGTTATTCTAGGCTGCAGCCCTTAACCACCTGTTTTCTCACACTAATTACCCCTGTACTCAACTGAATGTATAACCAGGAAGTACAGGATGATCTCGCCTGAATGAACTCTATGCTGTTTCAAAAAACACATCAGTATCTTGAAAATCTCAAGGACTGAAATCAGCAAGGTCAAAGGGCTTTTACATACCATGTGGTTATGATAATTTTGTGCCACTAGCAAAAAAAAAAAAGATACCCACCTAAATTGGTGTCTGCCCGCACTAAAAGTTGTGTCCTCTCATTTGCTGTAGGTTTTAAATGCAGAGTACCTACACCTTTCTCTTTAAATTCTTTTTCTTTCTTGTAAAATAGTTTACACCTATGGAAAAAAAATAGGCACATTCAGACACTCAATGACAAATCAAGTCACACGGTTTCCCAACAACCACTGTTCACACTTGTGTGGAAAAATCTGTACTAGATGAGAGGAGAGGAAGCTTCAGGATAAATCTTTGATTGATCCAGACTGGGTCCGGCATGAACCAGAGTAAGAAAATGTGGTTATAGAACCCCTATTTTTTACAATTATTAAATAGTAGGCCCAACACTTTTTAAATAGCATTTTCTGAAAACTATCCTTTCTCAAGTCAGTCCAAACTAGAGCTCGAGTCCCCACACCTCTCTGATACGCTGCCCCGGCCCCGAGCCCCAGGGAGACGACCCGGTCCTCTAAGGACACAAACAAGATGCAGGACACTCTGCTCCCATCTCTCCTCCTCTTTTTCTACTTCTTATTTCTGAATTCTCTTCAGGGCACCTTCAATTTGTAACCTCCCAAAATGCTGAAATAAATCTGGAAAACATTCTTAAGGCCTAACTAATGGCAATGTCATTAAAACATCTTCCCAGCCTTCCAGGTCCCACGTCTCAGGTTATTAATAAGCCAATCAAAACCACTGTCTGCTCCTGATTTATTCTGATTAGGAAAAAATTCTCAAGTTAGTGTCACTCCTTCATGTCATCTGCATAAATTTAAAAGGAACTGTAGCCTCTTTCAAAAGTTCTCAAAAATAAGTAATGCTTGGACGCCCTAGGACATGGAGATTTATGTTACGAAAACTGCTGACTCAGTCTGAAATCTTTGAATTAAAAAACACATCTAAGGAAGCTTCTAAAATGGCACAAATGTTCTGTAAATATCTTTGTTAGAAAGTTCTAATTTCATTGAGAGGTGAGATCATTCAGATTTTCTATTCAGCTTTCTTTGAGAGTAGCAGTTCTTACTTAAAATAAAAAATATAAAACAGTGCCCATCCTGGGGGAAAGATACAGCCTTCATGGAGAGGGGCGGTTACTGTGCAGAACATTCGGGCTGAGAGAAAACCTACAAAGGGCAAGAGGGTCTTCAGGGGGGGAACAGAGACGCCTCCTGGGTAAAAGCAGAAATAAAACCCAACCTGAAATCAGTGACTAGGTAACTTTCTTTGTGGGGGGAGGAGGGGAAGGGAAGGGAGAGAAAGGGAGAGAAATCGGAGACTAGACAGGGACTGCGGGTCAAAGAAAAGCCTGTCTCTAAAGGGCTTACAAAGTAGAGAAGCGTGCAAATAACAAGAAAGTGCGGAGATGCTCAGCAGGACATTTCTAGAATTGGTTTGTTTTCAAGTAAACAGGCCAAGAATTCTTCCTCATTCTAGTTCAAAGAGCAGGCCCGGCCCAGCCCCAGGGCGGGGTGGTCGGTGATTCCTCGGCACTCTCTGAAAGCCTCTTTACCAAGGAGGTTCCAGCGACTCTCACTCACTTTTTGGAGTAAAAAGCATCTTCTTCTTTTACTTCGGTAACTACAACTTTGGGAGGCTCATCACTCTCTTCATCTCCACCTTAAAAAACAACAAAACACTAGCTCAGTAAGATTCAAATCATGGACTTGAAAACGTGATGAAAGTCTGACTGCCCCTCACGGCAACCTAAAAACCCCATGAACGCTGAGAGATTGAAAGCACACTCCTCAGTGGAGAGGGGCTGGGTACACTCACTGGACTTTATTTGGTGAAAAATAGTATTTTTAATGAGAACATTTAAAAATGTTAATCCGCAGAAAGCCTTGCAATGAATAAATGTCCATGCTTATGACTTGGTGTATAGGCAAACTTTCGCAGAAAAATAAGCAGTCCACACTTTTACACTCAGATTACCCACTGGAAAATGAACTTCTCAGCTAGGCCTCTAACACCTTCACCCCCAAATGTTCCTGTGACCATATCAGCATCATGCCAAGGCGTGATCCATGTCAGCAGTAGCCAGACAGGGAAAACAGATACACCTGCTGACAGGCACAGTGTCAGAGGAATCACTGCAGAGCCAGGGTGACTTAAGCTGGGTCCTAACTGCCACCCCCGAGGGAGCCTGAAGGCCCTTCCACCCACTCCAGCGTCTCACACGAGAGCTGGGCACCACGGTCTCAAAGAAAAAGGCAGTCATATGAAACTCACAATTAAAAAGCAACTCTAAGAAAAACAATTCTGGTGCTCGAACAGTTTAAGTCACAAGAGTTAAATTTTGGGAGGGTCTCTCCTGAGACAAGCTCTCCACGGCAAGCCTCAGGCATCCGTCATTTTAAGAAGCTCTCCGAGGCTCTGGAGCCTCCGCTGGGACACCCACAAGACGAGCAGTAAGGCCTTACTGAGCGGCACCCACCCAGAGGGACGACGGAGGCTCAACTCTTATCCAACATCCCTTCCAGGAACGCTCAGCTGCCGCGCCCCTGGGACTGTCGTGCCCAGGACAGGGGCCGTGCTTGTCTTCTTTAGGACAGAGACGGAAGAGGAGACTTAGTGATGCTTTGCCTGAACGGCCCTTGCCTCACAATACACTTGAAGGCAAAGAAGAATAGTGATGAAAGGTTAGCTCCAGGTAGACAGAATTTTCAGATCCTTTTTTCTTTCTCAAGGGTCAGATGTGTTAACACCTCCCGAGAGATGTACTTTTAACTGCTGACAAGTATCTTCAGCCATTTGTTCACAGCCACCAAGTGATGGAGAGAGAAGATGTCACTCGGCCCTCTGAGAGAGCTACAAACTATTTCCTATCGGTTTGTGCTGGCAGTTTCCTTTAATGCGTAAGGTTTCTAGGTGCTATTTAGCTAAGATAATATTGTTACTCATTCGCTTATTTGGTGATAAAAAGGAGAGTGAGGAGTTGGGACAATGCCTGGCTTGGGGTACTGATAGTATATCAGTACATAAGGGAGAAACTTCTGGAAAGGTGGCTGTAACCCAGACATGTTTTCAGGAGAACACTGTCAATCTATTCCCCATGGCTTTATGTGTAAGTCCCCACGCAACTCTACTTATAATCAAATCACTGAAATACAAACAATTCAGTGGATATTCATTACAAACTTTCCCAGTAAAACACAATTTTCAGAGCAGTTAATTCACTCAGTATTTTCAACATGGAAAGCCACGTTTGATAATTTTACGAGTCACGGTGCTGAATATTTCTGTTATTTTTTATTTTTATATTCTTAATCCTTACAATGACCTACAAAGTAAGTTTTATTTTCTTTCACAAATAAGGAAACTGAGACTTAGAGACAAATCCACTGCCCAGGATCACATCTAGGAAATGACGAGGTCACAGTATGAATCCAGATCCACCTAGATGACAAATGTGTGCTTTTCCTACTAACCACTAAACTTACACAAATCGCAACAGACCTAGGTGGACAAACACATTTACCTTTGCATTCATTACTGCCTCCTTCTGCTTGGCTCTCCAGTGCTTTAGTGGGAGATGGTGTAGACACAGGTTTACTCTGGGCAGTACCTTTGCCAAATAAACTGGAGTTTCCAGAAGAAAATGAAAATCCAAACAGGGAGCCAGAGTTCAATGAACCCAAAACAGAACTATCTATTTTCTTGCCAAAGTTAAATGAGGCACTTGTTGCTCCAAGCGATGGGTCCGTTTTCTTTTCAGATGCAGCCTCCACCCTCTTTTCAGACACATCCTCAGTTCTGGTGCCATGAAACAGAAACGTTGATGCTTGCTGTAATTTTGTTGAAACCAATAGGGAAGGAGACTGTGTTTCAATGGACATTCTGTGAGTTTCACTTTCAGAATGACTGCCGCCACCACCGCTCCCATGCTGCTGTTCAATACTTGCCAAGTGTTTCTCATAGTCCTTAAAGATAGGTGTCAGGTCGCAGAGTGGGTTCATGTTCACGTGCTTCACTATCCAATCCCGGACAGAACAGTTCAAGGCAGCCAACTGCTTGTGATAGGCGTTCACGTGGCGGGCTGCACTTGTGGTAAGGCCAGAGCAAGAGGGCTGCTGACTGTCGCCATTGGTTTTGGGATCTGAAATCTTTTTATCGAACAAGGATATAGGGCCATTTGCAGCAAAAGATCCTATAAGAAATTACAAAGTTTTAAGATCTTGTTTAGAAGTTGACTTAATTAAATCACCTAGATTTTTATGTCACTCTGCCTTATTTCCTGCTTTTATTGTATCCCATTTTGGTGACAGTTCAAGAAATATGCACATCTAGTATTTAGGAACTGGTTATCCAAAAATCAAATCAAACTTTATACAAGACCATTACCTGCTACATGTTTGCATTAAACCTCTACATTTTACAAATAATCTTTTCCTTCAAAGGGATGCCCATTTCACCCAGAATCGTCAAAATATTGTTAGTATAAAATTTAAACCCCATGGTTGTAGGGATGAACGTATATTAGTGGAGTTAAAATCTTAACAGAAAGTGCTTATCCTAACATACCAAACATTCTGCCAAACTAAAATGAAACAGCACACACTCAGAATAACGAGCTGGGTGTAATCCCACAGTCAGGGGCATTTCCCAGAACGGAAGACTTTAACCCACGATCCGATTCTCTGTTATCACGGGGGTTCTTGACTAAGTCCCTCAAAACAGGATCAGGCCACAACACATCCCGGGCAAAATAAATCTAAGCTGGACCCGTCAATTCCTGATAGGTGTGTGCCACCCAGCAAAACCCTCGGTCCACATGTAATGAATGAGGGGATGGGGAGGCAGCCTTTGCAGAGGGCCCGCTAGGAGCTCCCTCTTCTCCTTTGACCCTTAGGTCGATTCTGAGGATCACTTTCACTTCACAGTTGAAGATTTGGAGGCTCAGATGTTAAAGAACTTTACCAAGGTCACAGCTGGTAACTGGCAGGGCAGAGAACAGAACCTAGGTCTCTGCTGGCTCAAAGCCTGTGCTCTACTCACTTATTCCAATAGCCTACATCTCACTCATTTCCATCCCTGTCTTTATTGTCCTGTTTTTGCTCATAGAGTCCCAGGGCCCGGGTAAGTATAAGAAGAACAGGTGAGCAAAGTCCTTTCTTATAGCTTATCGTTAACACAGATGTTCTTGCAGGAAGGGGAACCTACTTACCAAAGGCTGCCTTGGCCTCGATCACTGCCCTTACAGTGTTCCCATTCGACAGGCCTTCCAAAGACTTCCCTCCAGCGCCATTACCAAATCCAGAAAACCCTCTTCCTCCAGAAGGTACAGCCAGACCTTTAAAACCTTTAAAGGCCCCTCCACTATCAGACTGAAATATAAAGAAAGAGCACACATTAGATAACTCTGCTTTTATCACCGAATAAGCAAGTGACAATATTATCTTAGCTAAACAGCACCTAGAATTCTTATGCAACCACCATTAAAGAAAACTGCCAGCACAAACAGAAATAGGAAATGAGATAGACTTTATTCATGAGAGCCTTACACTTCAAAGCTGCCTCCCTCAACAGCCAAGAAAGATAATCATAATTTATAGTGAAATATAATTTTTAAAGATAGAGGTAAAAAAGACTAATGCAATACATTTATGTACACATGACAGCCTCAGAACACAGCTAAACCCCAAATGAAAGATTTTTCATGTACTTACTCGGACAGACCATTTGCCTAAGGAAGTTGCAGAAACATCAAGTTAGGTTGCCTGAAAGCATTTTACCCACCTACTTGTAATTTCCTAGGAAGTTCGGCAGCTCTCAATCTGCTTTCAGCCTAAAGAAACTTGAGAAGTTGACTCAGTCTCAAATCTAGATTTTTCGTTCCAGAGGTCACTTTTTACTTCCATTTTCTCCCTGCTTCCTCACACCTCTAACCCAAGATGCTTGGAAACATTTCGTATTCCTTCTAAAACTGCTCCCCGCCCCTAGAACTTTCAGAGAACAGTTCCTCAGTTTACAGTGCCTTGCTAAAGTCATTACAATTTCTTTAATAAGATCTTTCTGTAACTCCAAGTAGTGGTTACACTATAGGGGGGCAATCTGCTTCTTAGACCAAATATTCAAGAGAGGCTCTAGGAAATATCCTCAAAAATACACCATGGAATACACGCTTCAGAACATTCAAGAGCACACACAAACCTTATGTTCTTACATAAATGAATTACAATCATAGTCTCATAAAATATTAAACTGCAAACTCTTCATTTTCTTAACAGGCCATTTAGCCTAATATTATTGCAGTTTTCAAAAAACACAGAAGTTCCAATCACATTTATAGAATTCCAGATGCATACTGACCACTTATACACTTATGGCAATAAAATTAGGCCAAGATTGCAAAATATTAACTTACATGAATTTTAATGCATGTAATAGAAATAGCTTAGGTTCTAATACTCTAAATTTTGATTTTTAGTGATTCAAAATACAAATGCACCACCTTACTTTTGTTAAATTATTATCACCTTATAACAATGATTCACAGACAAACTGTAAAGCTACACGGGGCCCTTCAGAGCCTTTTATTCTGAATGACTTACAAGCCAAATGGTAATCACAGCTATTTTGGAAACTGCTGACAGCAAATTGTCTCTAGAATCATAATCATCATAAAAATTCAAGAACCACTGGGTTAAAGAAAAAAAAAAGAATGAGAGACATTCAGAAAAATGAGAGTAAGAGCTGAATGAGAAGACAGCCATTCGGGCCCCATGAGAACTGAAAACAGCCCTGCGCTCCCCATCTCTGTCATGTGTTTTTTTTTCTCCACGGCACTTAGAGAAAAATAAATACCGTATGTTCATGAATGTCTCTTCCACCATTGGGATGTAAGCTCCACAAGGCAGGGGTACTTTGGTCTATTTCACCCACCACTGTCTCTCCAGTACCCAGCTGATATGCTGAATGAATGAACAAACAAATCAACTATATGGGAAAAGCCACATTTCAACACTAAGTGGATGATACAACAAATAATTTCTCTAGTATTCAAGTTCTGATGGCAACTTGATGTTAGAAGTAGATTTCAATCACCCATGCGTACTTCCTCTCTCTCTTAGTGGAGGCCTCTGCCTACCCCTTCCTTTTTTGGGCCAGCTTTGGATTGTGGTCTCCATGGTTTCCATCTGTCTGCCTCCCTTCATTCAACAGCAGGGCCACCCCTTCCTGCGACCGACCTCAGCCTCTCCTTCGTTGTGGGCTCCCTCTCTCCTCCAACCTCTGAGTGGTGAAAATTCTCAGAGCTATACCCACCTCGCAGCCCTGCTGCTGTTCTGGGCAGCCAACCAGCATCCCGGTGGTCTTCCAGAGAACGTCTAAACACACCTTAAAATGCATTTCCAGAACTCAACCAATCACTTCCTTCCTAAGATGGCTAACCCCGTCTGTCCACCAGAGAGCCATCAAATATCACTAAGCTCAATACCTACATTCCAACTAGTCACCAATCTTAAGAATAAAATTAGACCAGAAAAGAAGTTGGAATAAAAAAAACTGAACAGAGCCACCAAAGAACATGTTTTATTCCAAACTGCCACCTGGGATGTTCAAACCAGCTTCTCCTGTCTGACAGCAGACAGGCCACCAAACAGCACTCCCGCAACTACGACATACGTGAGGCTGAGAGCTGCACTGGGGAAGGGCTGTTAGATGTGGGGCCACTGCTTAATACTGACACATGATTTCAACTCAGGAGTTACAACTCCTCTTTTATCCTGAACACAGAAATGAAGCATCTCAACATCACTAAGGACCCTACCTACCACACCTCAATCCCAGGAAGCGCGCGGGCCTGAGGCCCTGACCTTTTCCTTTCTGACTCCCATCTGATGCCTGCTCGCTTGCCTTTGCATCGCTATACTCATTTTTCCTCTTCATACTGTCACTCAACTCAAAGTCGTATCTTATTTCTGCAACTGAATAAGCTCCCTTTAGAGTGCAGATCTCCTATTATTATTCTCTATCTCCCATGGTCTACACCAAAGGAGTTTAACAAAAGGAGTAAGTATTTTAAAGAGCATTTATTGATCTGACAGCTCCCATAGGTTGAATACTTTGCAATTCAAAAATCAAATTACTGTTTAATACCAAAAGCTGTAAGAAAACACTCACTTCAAATCCAACATTCCTACGCTTGGCTTTCTTTATGGCTCTATTCTTCAAGATTTCCTCACTGGCCACGGAGAATGTTCCCACCTGCAGAAGTGCACAAATTAAATAGCAGTAAGATGAAGCCAAAAAGGAGATAAAGATGCTGAACAAAAAAGCTAGACCGGACAAACTCATCCAGTATCTGCTGCTTGCAAAGTGCTGGTGATGCTGGTAGCATAAATCACGGAGAGAGCACATTAAAATAAAGTTGCATCTCTATTGACCTGGGGAATTTTTAAACTAGCTTGGTGAATCAGAAATCTGCTACAATCTACAAATCCAGGCTTTGAATCACAATCCAGACAGAAGAGCACATGTATGAAAGTTTTGACAAGACTAAGACTTTCAGAACTTTGGCGCAAAACTACTTAGGACCAATTATTTAAATATTCCAAATAATATTAATCAAACTTAGAATATAAATAGTTTTAAGAAACATAATCTGTTCCTTAAAGGCCAGAAGGTACCTTACAAATCAGCAATAGTTGGTACTGGAGCCAGTTCTGAGACCCAGATGCCCACATCTTACTATTACAATTTTCAAAAATAAATTTTATTTTTACACACACATTATTTTTGAGCCTTGCCCATTTGCCGATCATCAAAAAGACCACTGAGGTGCCTGAGACTCAGTGGGCCTGCGGAAAGCCACCGCTCCCCCCCAGAATGAGGAAAGTGCTATGTCTACTTAATCAGAAACCTGCTGGAGATCTTTGGCTTTACTTCAACCCTACTTTCACCTTGTAGGACTGGCATAAAGTATTTTCCGTAAATAATTCTCATCTATAGCTACTTCAGATAATGTTAAACTTAAAGAGAATGCTACACCCACAGAAGGGACCATTTGGCTACACTTGCCCCAAATTAAATGTCATGTCCTTCCATCCTCATTTCATTAGAATCTATCCAAATGTAAATTCTTTCATTCCTGAAATATTTTAATGTCAGAGTAAATTGTCATATGGTAGTCTAAATCTTACCAGGCCCAGAACACAACAGCATAAGACCTGGAAAATAGTTGCCAAAGACTTGGTTTAAAAACACCAAGTCAGTTGGAAATGTTAAAAGCTGTGCCAAAATAAGAACATACTTGTGATATGGGTTTTCCTAAACATTTTAGTACATACATTTGTAAAGGAAAAAATATCAATTTTAGAAAATAGATTCAGAAGGAAGACAGCAGTCTAAGAATAAGCTTGGAAACACTTCTGCAGATTCTTTGTTTCTTTTTAACTTGGCACTATTTTATTAATTTGCTAAGCTAACTTGGTTATAGATTTCCTTAGTGAATTGGCCTCGGAACATCAAACTGCTGATGAGGCAAGGCACTAGAAATGCAACTGTGTTCTTCTCTGTTAGAGACAAATTAAAAGATTTCCTCAGGGAAGACCATTTTATTTTGTTAGGAAAGGACCTAGGCCAATCTAAATTCTATTACTATTAACACAATTGGTTGGGGGCAGCGGGGTGTGTGTGTATGTGTGTCTCAGATCTTTAAGAATATGAAATAAAGCAGGCCTCCAAGAAGCATTAGAGTTGAGGGAGGCAACCTCCATCTTCTTAAATCTAAAAGTATAGGCATGGCGGACCAAGCCGGGGGGGCCGCTTCTCAAGCCTGAGCACCGTCACTATGCTAAGTTTACAACTTGATCATTTACTTACTGTTCAGTCTTGGCTAATACATGGTTTTAAAATACTTCAAGTGTATGAAATTCAGGAGGAACATGTCTTTATGAGGGAGCAGAATGTTTAGGGAATAGGTGCTAGTGGAAAAACCCACCCAAATGTAATTAATAACTTCTAAACCAAGGTCATAGGAAACCATACTATTTCCTATTCAGGATCTTCTTAAATAGGCCTTTTGGTCACCCACAGATCTTCATGAGGAACTCTAAAATAAACGTGAATTTAGAAGCAGCAGGAAATCATTCTTAGGGAAGTTACTTTTTACCTCTTCTGCTTCATCTTCTTGATCCCAATTTCTATCTGTTAATTCCTTCTCGGCAGTTCTTTTGGCCATTTCTTTGAACCTAAGTTAGAAGTAAAAAGGTCAGAATTTGAGAGTTTCTCCTTCTAGACAAGACGTAACTTTCACAACGAATTTTTAAAATTCACTCTAGTATGAAATGAGATAAAAAGTCATTCCTGATACTAGTGAGAACTGCCTTAATGAGAAGTTTACCAAGGTGCGGTTAGGCTCCCGGCATTACAAACCCAGTAAGGATTCAGGAAGGCAGTGTAGTCTTCCTAAGGGCCACTGGCCCTCTCTTTGAACAACACTGAACCAACGTCATTTGAAAAAAAAAATGAAACACCGATTGATTTATTTTTAATCTATAACCTTAAGTACTGCATATATAACCAACAAGTGCTCAACTAGCTTATTTTATGCGAATTACACTTACAGTCTTGCTACAGACAAGCAATTTTTAATATTTAAAATTCTCTTAGATGATCCCAAGAAGTCCCTCCTTAAATAAGAATTTTAAAAGAGCATGGAAATACCTTCACAACATGAGTCCTCTTAGGCCCCAGACAGTTGACAGAAATACATTTCCCAAGATTGAACATTTAATTACACCAAATTGTATAGTGCTAAGCTAGGACATCTCTTAAAAGTTCAAAATGTAATTAATATGAATGTGTTAACATTCTGAGAATTTATAACCCTTCACAAATAAGCCACCCGTGTACCTCTTCAGAAACCACTACGTTACAGGGAGGGTAGGAGTAGGGGGACCCACAGTACTCTTTCTGACACGGATACAGGCACCTCTCCAAAGAGGGTGCTCGCATCTGTCCATTAAAATCAGCAATTTGCTTTCTAATCCTTATCATATCCTTTGCTATAAAAAAAAATCAATCAGTGGAGAGTTCCACTTTGAGTGCCATGCTGTCTTCCTCCCTAACTCACCAGGTAAATGGACCAGAAAACTCCACTTGTACTACTACCCACCTTGCCCAGGAATTTATTGATTTGTTCATGGTTCCTGAAACCTGGCCAGACTCCTTTCTCATAGTCTTTTCCCAGTCTGATTTGTCCTCAACATCAAACCCACCAGAGTAAGTTCCTGGACCTTCATGGTCATTAAGACACAAAGTCACACATCACCTACTGTTCTTTGGTATCTATAAAATAAAATTCAAATACTGAGATCCCCAAGTCTTCCAAAATCTGACTCCCTATAATTGCATACGGGCTTTTCACCTTTTAACAATAGCCTAACAATGCATGAACTTTCTTTATAAACAGCTGCTTTTTTTCTGACTACAGAATAAGTGACTTTATAAAGTCCAAGATTCTAAAATGTCAAATATGTGACCTAATAAACAATGCTTTTCAGGCTTTACCTGCAACTCCTTTAATGTCTCCCCCCAAACAGTCAAGTTTTGCTATTAATCTTTGTGATCCAAACAAAAACAAGGTACCTTTCTGACATAATTCCTTAGTGAACTTCAACTGTTCTAGAGGCCAGGTCCCTGCATGGATTCTTTTCCTATGTCGTGGCCAACATCTCCACGAGAGGGCAGAAGAGGTGAGAAGTTGAAAGTCATTTTCCTATTATTAACTTATTAACTGGGAAAAAGGGGTGGAGCTAAAAGTGTAAAAACTGTTAACAGGAGTAAATCTTTAGCAGCTAACTCATACCCGCAAGTGAAGAGAGGGCTGGCACAGTAAAACAGCCTAAATTAACGCTGCTGCCTCTGTAGTCTACCATATTTACTGAACAGTGACCCAACCGGACTGCAGAGATCTTTGTTCACGGATGTACTCCAAATGCCCCAAAGCTGCCCATCTCGTAGGTGTTGGATTGGTAATATCGTGTACTACATAACTGAGAAAATACAAGATGCTGCCATCCCAGTTTTGACATTTTCTTGCTGGAGACCTTGGGCAAGTTATTTAATTGTGACTCAAGTTTCTTCATCTGTAGAACAGGTGTGAAAATTAAGTGCAAAAATCTTAGTTTAGACCAGTGCCTACTACACAGGAAGGGCTAATTAACAAATATTATTGATGAAACCAGCTTTGTTAGAAGCAAAGGCTATATAATACTGTTTTTCCTCCAAAACTTTAGAGGTGTGGAGTGGAAAAAGAGAGTTAACTTGAATTATCAGCCAGGCTTCAAAATCTATTTTAGCAAATCCAGCTTCAAACTATATTTTATTTCAAACAATAAAGCTTTTTACATAAGAAAAGGGGGAAAAATCCACATAAAGTACTGAGAACAAGGCCTGACACCTAGAGTCTTATGTGCTATTACCATTAGGAATTTAAAAAAACGTTTAGGCCTGTGGTTAAAAAGGCACTAAATTAAGAAATAATTCCTAGGTATGAAGCATAATGATAGGAAATTAAAAGTTTCAGAAACTAGAGAAAGCTTTGTTATTTGTGCCTGATGTAGTAATGCGGTCTCTGCCGGCCGGTGCGGCCCTGCTCTTGGGCTGAACCTCAGCCAGCATCAGTTTACCCTGGTGGGAAACAGGTCTGGCCGTACTTGACAGCGCGGTGCCCAGAGAGACAAAGGGCGGACCCTGGGGCCTGAACCACCCGGGGAGAGCGCGATCTCAAAACTGTTTCTAAATGGAACAGGGTGCGACAGTGATCAGTGGCCCGGGCTGGCAGTGAGGGGTGGGGCCAGGCTAAAGAAGGGGCGAGAGAAGAGAGAGGCGAGGTGGCCAAGGGCAAAGAAGCACCGCGGGGAAGTGAACCAGGAAGGCCACGCCAGGACGCCCTGCCCGCTCAGCCCCCGGCCTCCGCCCCGAGCCCCGCTTCGCGGAGACGCGGCTGCGTCGCGGCGTTCGTGCCGCCCCACCCTTCCCGGCTTCCCCAACGCCCGGCACGCCCAGCTCGGCGCCCCAAGCCAGGGCCGCTCACCCCACGTCCTCCTTCCGAGGATGTCCCGTCCGGGCTGGGACCCCTCACCTAGGGTCCCCCGTCCAGATCCCGGTCCTGCACTCCGACTCGGCTTCCTGCTCCCCAGGCCTGCGGCCCCCACCCCGCCCTCCTCTACCCAGGGCTGCCCTTCCCGGCCTGACGCCCGGGCCTGACGACGGCGCCCCCTCCCCAGACCGCCCACCCCGACTCCGGGGCCCCCCGCCCCAGGCCGGGCCCCGCACACCGGCTCCCGCGCTCGGCCTCTTCCGTACCCGCCGGCTTCTCCCCTTCCCGGCGGCCGCAGCGGCACTAGTTGGGTCGTGGATGCGGCAAGGCCCGGTTGCGCGACTGCAAGCAGGTGCGAGGTCGCGGCCGCAGCGCTCGGTGGGAAGCGACTGCTGGTGGCCCGGCTGAGCGCGCCCGGTCGCTTCCGGTGTGTAGATTCTCGAAGTACTTCGTGGTCAGCAAGCCCTGGGTCCCCAACACCATGTCCCCCAGGGCCTCGGCTCTCTGTTCGGTGAGGGGGAGAACCGACCGCTCAGACAGACACCGCTGGAAGAACAGTACCTAACACGCTCCAGGCCGCCATTTTATTACTCGACTCTAACCGTCAAAACCGACTCGGAAAAAAGGGAGGAAAGAAACGCCCGCGTCCAGCTACTGCGCAAGCGCGCTAGCTCCTCGCTCAGTAGCTCCTCCCTCGCGAGCTCGCGGGCGTCACACCGCGCATGCCCCCCAGCGATTGAGGCAACCGTCGCGGAGGCGCGCGTCCGTCTCAAGCATGCGCGCATTGTTGCGTTCGCCGGCCCCTGCCGGGGAGCCGGCACCGGCGGCCGGAGCTTACGCGCGTGCGTCACGTGTCGCGGTCCGCGTTTGAGGCGTTTGTGCGCCGGCGCAGTTACTGGGCCGAGGGGTTAAAAAACTTGCGGGTTCTTTGCCTCGCGCATCAGGCCGCGAGAGTGCCCTGGGCTGCGGGTGGCGCCCTGCGGGATGAGACGAGACAGGCGTCCGGGAAACGTGAGTGAATTTGGGAGAGCGTATCGTCGGGTGCTCGGCGGCGCCACCGCGTCCCGACGCCTACCTCTGCCCGAGCGCCCGCGGCGTGCCCGGCTGCGGCGAGGTCAGGAAGGCCCGGGATTGCGGAGCGAGGAGGGGCAGCCTCTGTGTGGATGAGGAAAGGCGGACCAGGCGACAGCCAGCTCGCGTGTCCGCGGAGAGTGGCCAAGAGGCGAAGTGACCGACCCCAAACCGCGCACCTAGTTAGGGTCAACGAAGGTCTGCAAACGCGTTTCTGAAAGAAACTAACACGTGTGTTCAGTGTGAGGATCTGTGTTCCTCTGCTTTTGTTTGAATACCCCAGGATATATTCCAAATACTGCGGTGTAGTACCCCTCACGGGATAGTAGTGGCTTACGCTGTGCAAAGCAATTCCGTTCTGCCCAACACTCCTTAGCTAGCGGCTAATGAGAATATTAGCCTTAAGAACTGGCAGTTACACCCATTATTAACAAATTAGGAAACTCACTTCAGTAAAGGAACATTCCTAGAGCAATGGTTCTTAAACCATTTTGGTGGGGGAAGGGTTATACTTGAAAGGCTAAGGAAAGTTTCTTCATGCGTCCACGCGTGTAGAAAACCAGTTTGCATATAATTTCAGGGTGTTAACGACTGCTTCCTAAAAGCCCCTCCATGGACCGTAACGTTAAGGTCTTCTCAGCGAGAGACTAAGTTGCACACGTAAGGGTTTAAAAAAAAAAAGGTGGCCCTGGCGTTGGACATTTAAGATAAAATCAGATTTACGTTTATTTCCCTTGAGACAAAAACACAAAACACCGATGTTGCCAGGTGTTTGTTCTTTTTCTGAGGATAGATGTGAAAGGGAACAGCCGGCTAGGGAACTGTTAGATGTCTGTCTTTCACACTTGCCCTGTGAACTGGTTGGAGTAACGTGAACTGTATGGGTAACTAGTCAGAGAACGTTAGACCTAGTGTGTTGTAAAAAGAGAGAGGTCGTCAGTGGCGCAGTCTTCAGTGTTTTTGCTTTTACCAACAAAAAGCGAATGTATGGTACAGACGCTTCAGAGTGATGACATGACTCGCCAAAGCCATCCAGTTTAATGCCAGAGCCCAGGCCTCACTTCCAGCCAGGCATCCCTTTGCACAGGCCCTTTAAACAAACATTTAATGCCTGCTGTTGGTGACTCCACAGATTTTGGGTGCCAAGCCCCAGGTGGCCCCTCGTCTCTTTCAGCTGGCCCAGGCCGGCTTTTCCCTACCTAAACAGGAGCTGTTCTAAACTTTCATCACTTAAACGTTTCTAGCCATGGGCTCGCTATTCCACCCCCCAACCCTCAGTTTCCCCTCTTGCTTCACCACCCTTACAATACAAAATAGGCAGGCAACTAGTTACCAGAGGAACGAGCCCTTCTCCTTTTTCCTAATTGAGAGAAACATTTCTGAGCTCCCTTCTGACCAATAGCTTGTGAATCTTTATATTTGGTTCTGTCTGTATTAAGTTAATTCTTTCCAAACTTTCTAGTGCCTTTTTAGAAGTGGAATGTTAATTTTTGATTTTGACATCAGAGTGTGAACACTAGGCAACATGCTGTGTGATATATAACGTCTAGGTTGTTACCATATAAGGGACAGTTTAGATAGTGATAGACTTTCATGTATTCAGCATAGCAATGTGGCAAGTTAAAATAACTTTTATTCTTGCAATAATATGATATTTATCTTGCTATGGCTAAGCAAAATGATAGATAGTTCAGGTTCCCTTTACTAACCAAAATGTAACTGAGATTCAGAGGTTTTGGCCTCTGTGGATAAAATGAAGGTTCCAGTTTCAGCTGGCCCAGGTTCCTCATCCGGCCCTGGTTGGCTAGCTCACTACGCACATGTGGGTAATACGCTTGTATTGACTCTATATAAAGAGCTCCACCCCGTGCTCTGGGTGACACGGTGGCACGGCTGCAAGGCTGCAGGAGAGCAGAGCAGAGGCTGGAGTGGTGGCAGCGCCGAGGACATAGACTGGGACGGCTGTGCAGGGAGAGACCCAGAGGCAGAGACCAGCTTGCTGCGTGCAGACTCACTCTGAGTGAATGGCATTCTAGTGACTAACCTGCCACCATGTAAATAAAGTTGGGTACAACCCTTTCACCCCAAGAACATTCTACTGTCACTTCTTTGGTCACACTGAATCCATAGTGAACTTGCCCGGGGCTGAAACCCACTGGCAAGACAGCCTCCCTACCATAAATAATATAATTGCACTGAGTTCTTGTAATTCTAGCTAAAAGAGAGCTGGGATGCTTCAGCTGAAGCAATTTTATAGATAAAATTTATGATTTCCGGTAAGCTTTTCAAACATTGCCCAGAATCACGGCCTGCCTTTGCCCCTTCATAAATTCTGAAGCAGGTCTGTCCAATCTCAGTACATTTGACTTCATAACAAAAAGCTAACTGTCAAACTGGGATTCAGCTGGATTTTCTTGAGACTTTGAGCAGTGCATGACTTATTTTGTCCTGCAGATTCCAATACACTAGGCACGACTCAAAACATTTTATAACTTTTTTTTCATATTTCAGGCTTCAGTGCAAAAGTATTAAAACTGCTGGCTAAATTTTCTAGAGTTATTTTCTCTTGAGACATTAGTCACTGAAAAGACAGTATATAGTATGTTTAAAAAACCTGTTCAAGATACCATGAATTGTATAAAGTAGCATATTGTATCATTTTTCTGGGAATAAAATTAACTGAGAAGAATTAAATAATAAAGGAAAACCACCAAGAGATATCATGGGCAATGAAGGCAGACGCAAGAGTTGTTCCAAGTTCCAAAGACAGAAATGACGGCAAGCAGAAGCGATCAGGAACGTATTCACAGCATCGACCTCCAAGGATGAATGGGTTTTGTGTAAATGGGAGGAAGTGGGGCGTGGCAATGGACCCTTGGAACAGGACATAGAGGCATCAAGTATTAAAGGTGTACAGGTTTTGGAGAAGAAAGTATGGAAACTTAACAGGAGCAGATTTCCCATGTCTTAGAGGAGATCCAGCTTGTTCTTCTGTTCCCCTCCATGTCCAAACATTTGGAACATGACCCTTTTCTCCTTCCTGGTTGCTTGTACCTACAAGTGATTAACAGTTTTCGAGGACTACTGTTTCTGAGCACTTCTGTAGGTGCTGTTGAGTGTGGTGTCTGGCCTGTAAGGACTCAGCAGTAACGTGATGGGAGCAGTCATCAGTGAGGTTTGTCACAAGCCAGCCTACAGTCCTCTGCACTTGGTTTTGTCGTTACTTCTTTGTTTTGACCTGCTTGTTGCTTTAGCCCTTTGATTCCTCATCTGCTTCTGTTTGTGCCTGGCCCCCTCTTTCTTTCTGCCTGTCTTCCCCTTCCCTGCCACCCTGTACCCACCTTACCCTCCGCCCCCCCCCCACTGCCACATACATTTTCATCAGGTTTGTGACTTCAGTGGACCCTTTGAGTAAGGAAGAGGAGGGGAATAAATGCAAATGCATTTAGCAATGTACAAATGCCCACACACGATGTGACTGCCTTGTGACCTTGGATTGCATTACTTGGAGTGTAATATTTTAAAAACAGGAAGGTGGTATTTGCCTGCTGTGAGCAGTTGAGACCACACTTAGAGGAGGCGCAAGGAGGGTAAAAATGCAGGGTTCTGGAGATGAGCTGCCTGCATTTTACCGTTGGCTATCATCTTATAGTTTTGTGACCTTGAGTAAGAGCTTTCGTGACTGTTTACATAGTTCCAAAATGGGGAATTATAATAGTTACCTATCTGATGGGGTTGTTGAGATTAAATTGAAGGAGTAAAACTGAAATGCTTAGAACGTGGCTTGGCACATAAGTGCTTGATAAAAATTAGTTTTTATGATTACTCAGCTCTGGGAGGCATTCTTTAGAGAATACAGACAAAATGCAACAGACTTTGAGGATCTGACAAGGGGACAGGCCTTGCTATCTAAGTGACGGCTGTAGGAATCAGACGTAAGACTAGAAAAGGGAAAACTCAAGAGGACCAACTTTTTTTCACATATTTGGAGACATTTCATCTCATGTTTATCATCTATTACATTCTGTATGGCTCAGAAGTAAAAAGGGCTTTGTAATAGTCCTGGAAGAAAGTGGGATAGAATTGAGAGTATAATTTCATAATCAGAAAGACTACAGTTTGAATTCCAGGTCTCTCCTTGTTAGCTGTATGACCTTGAAAGTTCACTCAATTTTTTCTTGAAACCTAGCTGTGAAATGGAAATCATAATGACTTATACTGATGTTTCAATTGAAAGAGGATGGTTCATACTGGAGCAGAAGGGTACCACCAAATGAATTTATTATCCAAGATCAAGCCCTCAACTTTGCAGATGCAAACTTCTATTATTAGCCAGAGATGATTTTGGTGACAGACTGACCCTAATATATCTCTTCAAGGGTTGTAGTGAGTTGAATAGTGGCTCCCAAGAGATACGTCCATGTCCTAACCCCTGGAACCTGTGAATGTGACTATTTGAAAAAAGGGTCTTTGCAAATATAATGAAAGACTTTGAGATGAGATATTTCTGGGTGGCCCCTAAGTGCAATAACAAGATGGCTTTATCAGAAGGAAAAGGAGAAGAGGACCTT